TGTGTCGTGTGTCGTGTTACGGCGTAGATCTAATGTAATGAACGGGTACAGAGTGAACGATTACCGGCGTAGCGTTGCGATCGACACGTCGCCGCGCTCGCAGACGCCGCCTGCATCGGCCTTCCGATCGCCTCGCGCAAACCTCACGGTTCCCAAATCGCCTCGGGCCGCGCCCGCCAGCCCGACCCTGACCCAGTCGGGGCTGATGCCGCCCGCGGTCGGCACCATCGCAGGTCTCAAGTCGCCGCGGCCACTCAGCAGCCGCGACGAGGAGATGCTCGAGCTGCTGGAGCAGCTCGACTCGGAGCTGCTGACCTCATTCAACAGCAAAGAGAAGCGAGCTACGGGCGATCACTACTCTGGTGACGCCGCGGGCCACCGACAAGAAGACGAAACAGAAGGTGCGTGCGTCCTCTGTCATTCTCTGACGTTTCATGCCATTCCTCTCTGACACGACACACACGACACGACAGTTTTGATTCAGATTTTGGAGGATCTGCGACTTTTGGTGCAGGGCCAAGTTGACGCCACGATCAACAATCGGGCTGTTGCGTTCTCGAGCAGCGCCTCTACGCTTCGCTCTCTATCGAGCGCCTTTTCCGATACCATGACAGTACTCAAGGTTACAACACGCACCACACACCACACACACCGCACATACCGCACACGCTCACATGCACGCACGTCTCGTGACACACAGTTGGAGATAGCGACGGTCAAGCCCGATGGTCCGGGCGAATCGCTGATGCGCTCGCCTCCCGTCGCCGAACGCATGCACGACATGCTCGTTTCCCATCACCGCCTCTTCGTCCAGACCGTCCTCGCCGGGCTTGGTCCAGAGCCTCAGCTCACGTACGTCCCCTATCCACTCGCATCCCGTGCTTTGGCGTTCACACACTCACCACACGGCACGCACGGCACACTCACCACGACACACGACGCACACGATATGACAGTGAGTTGATGTCACCGTTCCCATCGCGGATAGACTTGGTGTCGTTCCCGCTCGAGCGATTGTGGCGTTCGCCGCCGGTGCTGTCCATGCAGGAGGGAGACTCCTTCCACTCTCTCGTCTCCTCCGCGCAGCAGGCGCTCGACCGACTGCTCGCTCGGGGCCAGCAGCAGCCCAACCCCGAGGGCCTCGTCATCGTCAAGCTCGACGACCTCTTCCTCTTCAAGTCCGACAGCCGCCAGGTCGTCAGCGACCTCAAGTGCCTTCACGCGCTTCTCCTGCGGCTGTCGGCCGCCGAGACGGACGCCACGACCAAGCGGGCCAGGGCGACGCAGGCCGCGACGCTGGACTTTGCCGTCATCGTCTTCATCCGCTGCGCGGTGGACCTGATCGCCGCCACCTGCGCCGCGCCGAGCGGTGGTGGCGGTGGCGCGCGACAGAGAGCGAGCGCGGAGCGATGGACCGCAGCGACGATGACGCTGCGCAAGACGCTGCGCACCCTGGCTCTTCTTCATGCCATGCTCGGCAGCAGCTAAGACGTTTCACACAAGAAAAGCAGCACACACATGAAGTGGTCGGTAGGAATAGTTCTGTTTGCAGGGAGAGGTTCTGGCGGAGACTTCAGATCTTCGTCAAGACGAAGAACGAGGTGGAGAGTCGCCTCCTTCTGGATGTTGAAGAATCCTGCTTGCCCTGTTTCGGAAAACGTTTTCGGGGATCAGAGATGTTTCCCAAACGTTTGGGAATTCGTTGTTGTGTTATTTCTAATAATAATCCAAATGTTGATGCACACCTTTTCTTTTATTTTGTTAGATTTCGCTCTCGAGATGGAGGGGGTGCAGAACGTGTACGACGACCCGGTGTTCTTCGAGGGCTACAAGAAGGTCTGGTCCCAGCCCAACCCCTACAACGACGGCATCGAGCGGCCCGCCCTCCTCTCCCTCCTGCCCCCGCCCGACCAGTGGCGCCACCTCAAATTCCTCGACCTCGGCTGCGGTGCCTCTTTTTTCTTTTTTTTCTTTATTTTACTTTCTTTTTATTATTGTAATTATTTAATTAAAATACAATAAATTTGATATTAATAATATTTTTATTGACACCTTTTAAAATGCAGGCACAGGCAAGCTGAGCTTCCCTCTGGCGGAAGGTGGCGCGACGGTGCGCGGGGTGGACGTCTCCCAGCGCATGCTCACGGTGGCGCGCGAGCGGCTGGCGGCGGCTGACGACGACCTGCGGGCGCGGCTGTCGTTCGTCGAGTGCGCGCTGGAGCACTACGCGGACGCGGACGACACGTACGACGTGGTGGTGGCGGGCCTGGTCCTGCACTACGTGCGCGACGTCGCACCGCTGCTGCGCGCCGTCCGGCGGTGGCTCAAGCCCGGCGGCGCGCTGGTCTTCTCCACCGAGCACCCCATCTGCACCTCGGCCCAGGGCCTCCACCCGGCCTACGTCATCGACAACGATCATCAACCACCACAACAACCACCACAAGATCATCAACAAGATCATCAACAACAGCCAAAGCAACACAAGTACTATGTGTACGATCGGTATCATGAGGAGGGCGAGCGCCGGGCGACGTGGTTCGTGGACGGGGTGGTTCGGTACCACCGCACGATGGCGTCGTGGGTCAACGGGCTGGTGGCGGCCGGGTTCGTGGTCGACCGCCTCCTGGAGCCGCGGCCCACCGCCGACGCCCTGGCCGCCTTCCCCGACCTCCGCCCCTTCGACCAGCGCCGCGTCATCTTCCTCTGCGTGCGCGCCCTCAAGCCAACTTCTTCATCATCAACACCAACATCATCTTCTTCTGCGTGATTCTTCTCATGAGAGGCAAACTATTTACTTCTGTTTTTCTGTTCATGCCATTGCACACACGACACGACACGACGACCAACGGCACGCGACACACAGCCCGTGCGGTTAGGAGTGCTTGGTGGAGAGTTTCTCGTGGCTGCTGCCGCCACCGAGGAAGCTTGAGAGGAATCCGCCCTTCTTCTCGCGCTTCTCCCTCGGGATCTCGCGCACGCTCATCGACGCCTGCAGCTTGCCCGCCGTCGTCACGGCCTCGTGGCCGACGCCCACAGCCTCGCCGCCGACGCCGACACCGGAGGCGAGCCGACGGTCGCGACGGTCGGTCAGCGGCGCTTCGATGAACGAACGCGACGAGCGCGGCAGTAGCCCGCGGCCGCCGCCGGCGGCGGCGCCCGAGCTGTTGTTGGCCGCGGTCCCGCGTAGGAAACTAAAGTACTTGTCGTCGCCGTCATCGCCTACGCCGGCGCCGGCGTGGTGGTCGTCTTCGCTGCTCTTGACGCGCTCGAGCTTGAGGGCGCGCACGTGCGAGATGACCTCGTGCTTCTTCTTGAGCTCCTCGATGACGTCCATCGACCGACTCTTCTTCCTCTTCATCTCGTTCGTCTCCTTCTTCTTCGCCGCCGCGGCCGCCGCCGACGTTTTCTTTTCTCTTTCCTTTTCCTTCTTCTTCTTTTCCTTGCCGCCCGCGGCGGGCGAGTTGTTGGCGCCGAACGCGGCGGCCGGCATGACCATCGTCACCGGCATCATCGCCACCGTCATCGTCTTCCGCTTGGCCTTGCCGTCGTTGTTGTCATCGCCATCGACGTCGTCGTCGTTGCTGTAGCGGTCGTGCGCGCGTCGCTCGAGCACGATCGCGTTGTGGCTCCGGCGGACATCGGCGGCCGCCGCCGCCGTCGACGCTGCTGACGTCAGCAACGAATCGCCGCCGGTCTGGCGCGTGTGGACGGCCGTGCGATCGCTCTGCGACATGAGGACCCGGCCGGTGGCGGACGCGACCGGGCAGCGACACGGACATGCGGGACTCCCACACCTCGCGCACCTGCATCACGCTCATCCGCTTCTCGGCCGTCGCGCCGGGCTGGGCCTCCTGGGCCTTGTTGGGCTGATGATCGTCGTCTTTGCTCTTCGGTTTCGTTATCGTTTTCGTTCTTTGGTCGCCATCGCCGCGGGGTCCGTCTTCGCCGCCGCTACCGCTGCCGCTGCTTACGTCTTCGCTCTTGGCCGCAGACTTGCGCGGCGTCTTCTGGCCGCTGCCTTTCTTCGCCGGTTTCGCTTTCGTTTTCGTCTTCGTTTTCGTTTTCGTTTTCGTCTTCATCTTCCCTCCCTCCGTCGTCGCTTTTGTCTTCGTCTTCGCTTTCGCTTTCACCCCATTCTCAACGCTTTCGCTTTTCTTCTTCGCTTTTTGCTTCTTCTCCTCCTCTTCATCCTGCTGTTCCTTCTCCTCCCACTCCTCGTCGTCCGTCGCGTCGCCACGCGCGGCCGCACCCGCTTGGCTCTTATTTTTGTCGACATGTTGTACTCGCCGTTGTTTCTTCTGCTGTTGGTCCTTGTGGAGGAGGTGCGGGTCCTCGACCCAGAGCGGGTCTTCCCACTCGGACCACTCTGAGTCCGACAGCTCCGACGTCTCGGAGAACGAAGACAGCATGAACGACTCGTCGCACCACTCCCCCTCCCCGTCGCTTTCGTTCTTTGCGGTTGACCCGCTCGCCTTCGTTTTCGTTCTTTCCTCCGCGCTGATGGCGGTCAGGAGGATGATGCCGTTGGGTTCGTGTCGGCCCTGCTTCCTCCGCTTGCCGCTTATCCCACCATTGAAGCGAGGCCCCGCAGCCGCCAACATAGCTGCCTCTTCTTCGTTCTTTTTGCTGCTTGCCTCTCGGCCGGATGTTGTTGGTGTGCTTTTTCCTCTCTCGGTGACGAATCGCGCACACGATCGTCGACGTTTATCGCCTTGTGCGGGATATTTTCGAGATTGGTTCCTCTTCTTTGTTGCACTTGGCAACGCAAGCGATCGGCCCAACCACCCTCGAGGGTGTCCGTTGGCGTGCGAGTTTTTGGCGGTGGTGGGTGAAGCAAAGAGGCCAAAACGCATTCAAGGCCGCCGCCACGCGCGAAACAACGCCCACTACTGAGGGATGGCCGCCATGGGTGCAAACTGGCTCTGGAGCACCCGATAGCGATCCAAAAAGGCGTCCCAGTCCACGTAGGCGCCCTGCACACGACACACGCACGAATGCGCATGAGCCTGTGGCACGACACACGACACACGACACGACACACGACACACGACACACGACACACGACCGCACACTCTACGCGCACGCGCATGCGGGGTGGGGAAAGAACCTGGAGATGGCGGTTGCCGTTGGAAAAGGCGGTGCGGGCGTGGAGGATGCGACGGTTGTCGAAGGAGACGAGGTCGCCCTCCTCGGGCCGCCGCCAGAGATGGAGGTCGGGCTCCTGGTTGATGATCCGCACCAGCTCCCGGTAGGCCGCATAGTACTCCTCCACCTTCTCGCCCTCAATGTCCAACGGCCCTGCCATGCGTAGGGAACCATCATGAGTGTGGTGCGTGCGGTGCGTGCGGTGCGTGCGGTGTGAGTGATGCGTGCGGTGCGGGAGTGGAGTACCTTCGAATGTGGGCGCGTAGCGGAAGGCGCTGGCGTCACCGGTTTCCTGGTCAAGCTCGATGATCGGTCGTCTGCCCACGAATAGTCAGATAAGTCAACACGCACACGCCTCACCGCCCATGCATCATATACGACACGCACGACACGCGCCACACGACACACGGCACAATAAACAAAAAAACGTCTTAACAACATAGAAAAGGAGTACCGCTGAACCAAGTGGTGGCCGGATCGTTGGTAGTGGAAGGTGGCGGGCGTGGTTGCGAGCAGGCGGAATGCCTTCTCGTCCCTCTCCTTCAGCACCTTGGCCACCTTCGTAGCGGCAGACAGGGGCCACGTAAGTGCGTGCGGTGGTACAGAGCGATGATGCGTGTGCGTGTGCGTGTAGCGATGATGCGTGTGCGTGTGCGTGTGCGGGTGAGAAAGAGGAGAAAGGCGAATACCTGCATAGTGTCCAGGAATATGTTGGCGCCGCCTTCGGCTTGGTTGATGAGGCAGTGCAGGAACTGGTAGCCGGGCGGGACCTCATAATACCTGAGCGCGTAGGTGAATCTCTTCCGCACACGCGCATGCGACACGACACGCACACGACGCACACACAGCCCAAGACGGCGTCGTACATGAGGTCCATGTGCGGCGGAATCGGAAGTGAGGAGTAGGCGATGTTGGCGGCGTTCTCGATGCTCTTCACATCCCACGTCAACCCGTAGATCGTGTCCCTGCAATGAGACGCCATCGGTTCAGCATCCATGTGTGCCCCGTGCATCGTGTGTTGCGTGTGCGCCGTGTGCGCCGTGTGTCGTACCGGAGCTGACCCATGCGCTGGGCCACGCGCGCGACTTCGCCCTCTTGTTGCGGCACGCCTCGGATGAGGCAGTATCCGAACTTGAGCAGCTGCTGCAGCCACTGCCACACCGCTGCACATTCCAAACCAACACAGATCAGCCACCGCTGCCCGCACACGCGGAGAACCGCACACGCCACACGCGACACAAATGACACACGACACACGACACACACGACACACCTTCGTCCTTGTTCATGAGGTCGGCGTAGTCGATCTCGAGCGCGACGGATTCGGAGATGAGCACCTCCGGCGTCCACGGTACCGCCGCGCGCCGCATCGCCCGCCGCTCGTGCCGGGACTGCTGGTCGTAGGCGTAGCGGCGCAGGAAGTCCTGCGGGAAGGGGCTCACGTGCCCGTCCTTCCAGCGCACCACCACCTGGCCGTTCTCACTGCGTGGGTGAGGAATGTGAGCGACGTTGGTGCGGAATGCGTGAGGAATGTGTGAGGAATGCGGTGGACAGCGGCAGCGGCCACGCACAGGCTGACACTGCGAGGCACGGGGCGGGGCGGGAAGTCGAGAATGGAGACGAGCTTCTGGCCCGAGCTGCTGTCCAAGCACTTGGGGCACTGACAGTTGTGGCGCAGCCACGTATGGTGAAACTGACACGGTGGCAGAGAGTGAGCAAGGAACACACACACACACACCGCACACGCACCGCACACGCACGCAGGCGCGAGGTTGTATGTACCGGGCTAGTGCGGCCGTCTCTCCACTGCACTTCGACGCGGCCATCCTCCTGCAGAGTCAGACCAACGTCAGCGGTTCAACGTTTCTGAGAAGCTTTCTGGGAGGCTCAAGGCGAAGGCGGCGTACAGCGTGCACGGCAGCAGCGGCCGATCGGGCATGGGCTTCCGGCTGGGCGTGCGCAGCTCGCCTGGCCTGCACAACGCTGGTGGAGCGCAGCAAACTCGGAAAACCTGATAAACAAGCGTTATTAATATTTACTGATAATAATACAAATACAAATATTAAAAAAATAAACGACTCACGATGAGTTCACGAGATGGACCAAGCGGCTTCAACATGTCCATCTTTTTGCTACTTGAATTGGAGATTACCTGACCAGCCAGAAGAGGAAAGGAGTGCGGAGTGACAACGGAGGAGGTTTGAGGTCGTGACGCTGCCGTGCAGTGCCCTCTTCGCCGCCGCAACGAAGCCACGCGTGCCACAGCTCCTCATCTTCGTGCTTCTCCGCTCTGCTTGTTTTTGGCAATGAAATAAAAGAGAAATAAAAAGCAATCATTATCAAAAAAGATCAGAACACAAAGATGCAGCGGGGACGGATGTCGAAGGACGATGAGGCGTCGATCAGCCAGATGATGGAGCGTATGCAGATGGAGGACATCATCACCCACTACAACCGGCTGGCGGACACCTGCTTCACGCAGTGCGTCGGCGATTTCAAATCGAATGCGCTGCTGCAAAACGAAGAGGTCTGCGTGCAGCGATGTGTCGAAAAATTCACCCAATTCAGCACCCGATTTCAACGCGTCTTCGTCGATCACCAGACGGCAGCCAACAAGCAGCGACAATAGATGTATTCTTTTCTTCATTTTCCTCGAATTCCCCTTTTGTCACTGAGCCTATCCAAGAGCAGAACAGAGATCCGTCGATCGACACACAGAAAGAGGAGCATGGGCTATGAACGTCAGATTGAAGCCATCAGATGAGGTCCTTCCAACAAGATGAAGATTTTGTGTTGTCTGTTTTAAGATGGCGGGCCACGTCAGCATTATTAGTGGTAAGTCCGTTTGGGCAACAAGAACAAGGTTTCTTGTCGAACAACACTCACATCGAAACAATAATTCAACAAGATGGTACGATGCCGGCTGCGGGCATTCAATTGTAGGAGAGGGCTAAAAAAATGGTTTTATGAACTGGTGCAGGGAGACCGCAACAAGACGGAGCAGCTTCAGGAAGCGTTCTTCTACTTCGACGAGGAGCGAACGGGGAGCATCCATCTCGTACGAGCTGCCTTTCTTCTCCCTCTCCATTTCAAGCCCTAACACGACACCTCCAGGACAAGCTGCGCGAGATTGTGCAGCGCTCTGGTGAGGCCATGGGCTACCAAGACGTGCGCCCCCCTTCCTATTTTATTTATTTTATTCGTTTTATTTTGTAATTATGCCACATTCCAGACATTTTTGTTTTTTTGTTTTTGTGTTTTTTTTTGGGTTGTTCTGAGAGTATGTCGTCTGTACAGGTGGAGGAGTTCCTTGCTGAGGCGTCCAACTTTGCCGATGGTGCTGGCAACGTCGACTACAACTCGTTCGCCCAGCTCATGTATTCTGAGGACTAACTGGCGTTCATCGCCGCATGGTCCTTCCGTGTGTATTCATCCTCCACCCTCCTCTCCTGTACTAAAGAAACGAACCCAATCAATACACCCTTGGCACCAAACTTCACGTCTTACAGGTTCGATGAGAGCTAGAGTTGAAGTTGGTTGCTGCTCGGTGGTGGCGGTCTTGTATTTGTTTTTTGGACACGGGCCACGGCCTCGTGCTCTCTTCTCACCACGAGCGCTGGTGCGAGGCACTCAACTTGATGAGGCGCCTCCGCTCTTGCTGCGTCCAGCCGGCGTTAACGAGTATGATACACTTGCGTCTTCTTTCGTCTTCGTTCTCTCTTGTCGCGTTCGTTCTTTTCTCTCTTTTTTGTCGTTTTTTGTTTTCGTCGTCTCTTCGTTTCTCGCTCTCTTCTCGTCGTACGCCCAACGTCTAGTGTCGCCACGCTCACGTCTCCATAGCCTCTTGTGCCGTTCCCGCCTGCTTCGCCAGTGCGCTCTCTTGCATGCTGGATGCGAACACCAAGTGCGGGTAAGCAAGAGTTTTGAGGGCAGCCTGCCTGTACGCAGCGAGCCAAGATGCAGAACGTACCTCCAGGTAAAGTTGAAGCAGTCGGCGATCTCATCGAGCGAGAAACCCGTCTTGCGCTCCAGTCGCGCGGGCCACAGGGGCTCGATACGAGCCTGTCTGCGGGCCACGGCCAGGCACACGGCAGCCAAAATTGATGGTCGGAAACGCAAAAACTGGTGGTCTGCGAGGAAAGACGGGTCAATCATAACCAAACACGAAGCATGCTGAAACGCGAAGCTCGGAAGGAAGGGCAAGAGTCTTCAAACGAACCTAACACGATCATGGTCATCACCGAATGGGCGGTAGCGATTGCCCAGTCCTCAACCGCCTGCGACCTGTCGTAGGAAAGCGGAACGCCTCGAATGAGATCGTCGTAGCTCACGCACGAGACCTCGGCCAGGAAAAAGTCGAGCATGCTGCGTGGCGTGGTCAGCAACTGGAGTGTACCATTGGACGTCGAGTGGTCACAAACGTTAGTTCCCGCTAGCAATCCTGTTTATCAGAGCTTTCAAGAGCGCAGCTGAGTACCAGGTTCCATCCAAGGTGGTTGAGTACAACGCGCTCGCAGGTTCGAATGAGGTCGGCAGAGTAAGTGTCCAGCGTGCGGTCGTTGAACTCAGTCACGGTGGGCACCTTGTTGGAATCTCCTCCAACTTGGCTGTACGCACACAAGAGAGACGTCGAAGTACTGTAAGTGAGCAGCTTGCCTATCAGAAATCCTGCGAAATCGACTGGATCTTGCGCACGAATCTGAGATCTCTCGATGTTGGAACGCACCTGCGATGAGCAAACACGCCGTAGCCACGAGCTGCAACTTGTTGCGCTCTATGGACATCATCGAGAGCATGCGATCGAGGTAGGCGACGGCCAGGTGTGTGGTGGCTCCGTGAAAGCCGAAGTAATCGCCCACGTCGAGCATCCAATCTACGAGAATGGGTCGTGTCTTGTGGTACTCTTGATCGATCTGTAGAGCGGGCGTGTCTTCCTCCTTCCTTCGAACTTCGTGGTAGATGTCATCCGAGAGGACAGATCCCAGGATGCTGAGGTCCTCCAAGAACGCACTCGACGAGAGCGAAGACATCGACGAGGACAGCGAGGAAGATGGTGAGGGCTCACCGAAGCTCTCCACCGAATCCTCGCCCCAAGCGCAAGTGGACTGCGAGAGGCTATCGTCGCAGCGCTCGCTGGGGGTCTCGTCTCCCAGGCGGTCGCCCGTGTATCGATCATCGTCGAGTAGCGACGCGTTGAGTGAGCTTTCGCCGCAGCTGAGTGAGGCAGAGGGCGATAGAGGGATCGAAGTGCTGTGCTCATCACCGCTCGAGAAGGAGGAGGCCTCCATGCTGGCTTCGCGATGGCCATCTCGATGCATGGGGGAGCAATCAGGGTCGGGAGAAGATGCGAGAAATTGAGGAAGATGATAGGAAGGAGATGGGGAGCAGGGCGACGTCATCGTGGAAGAGGGGTGGGACGATGCGGGAGAGGCGTCATACGGGGATGAGGGGACCATGCCGGCGGGACTCTCTGCCGATGTCGGCAATGTCGCGACTCGCTTCCTCTTGCGCGGGTCCATCTCGTCTCGACGTCGAGATGTTCCTCTTGTGTGTTGTGTGTAGAGGCGATGTGTGGATGTAAAGAGGCAGAAAGAGAACAAGAGTAGAGAAGAGGAGAGATCTGCTGCTAGGCGGCACCGCCACCGTCCTGCGTCAGGACTGCACCAGCACGTGAAGAGAGGGAGTGGGAAAGAAAATGGGCTGCCGCGCAGGCTCTTATTTCAGCGGTACCCCCCCCCCAGCTGGGTGTCGCCCATTGGGAGAACCCTGTTGTCCGCACAATTCAAGGCACGGCCTTCACCGCCGGAGGTGGCCACCAGATGGGGGAGCACACAACGCAGCACACGGCACCGGTTGGGCGGCTGCAACCTTCCTGCATATGGTCGACAGGCCACGGAGCTTGCGCGGTTGGTCAAGCTGAACTTGTCCCTGCTAGCGATCGATGATATTTAGGGCGCGGCGACTTCGACGTCGTCGATCTGGAGCACGATGTTGGTCCGAGCGATGCCTGGCACCGACAACATGGCCCTGTTGGATGTTGTTTTTCACATGACAGCATGTCAGGGCATTGTCGTAGGAGAGACCGGGCCGAGCAGAAAGGCAGGTGGTCGTGGGAACGTACTTGGCCCCTCCGGAGGAGTAACTGAAGCCGCTCCAGTCCGCAATGGGGAATACTTGGTCCAGCGTTTTCTGCTTCAGCTCAGCAAACTGGTCACTGGACGGAGGTTAGCAACTGGCCGCACAGAGAGGGCTGCAAATGGGCCGTACGCAGCGTCAGGCAAGCTGTGTGTGAGCGTGTTGAAGTTCAGCCTCTGTGAGCACGTTGCTTGCGCCTTCCACGTGTCAGCGCTGATACCGATGCTGGGGGGTAGCGCCGTCTTGTACGCCCAGAACCAGTTCCTGACGAACCAGACAGCCGCATTATTCTTTTAGATCGGCTGCCCGACTTTTGGAGTGCCGATCGGTTGGGGTTATGCAACATGCCGCGGTACCTCCAGTCGTCGGCCCCGCTGGTATTGCCCGACAAGAACAGCAGCCTTTGCTGCGACTGAACCGGGTTGTTGTAGAGGGCCGACCACGACAAAAAGCCCTAGGACGATAATGTAAACGGAGGTCACCGGCAACCTCGCAGCGCACTAGTGCGGAGTGCATGTAGTGCGTACCACAACTGAGGGCTTCTGTTCGATGAAGTTCCTCTGCGCCAAGCGAAGGGTGGAGACGTTCTGGTTGCTGGTGACGTTAACGCTGACCACACCCAAGAAGCCCATCTCCTTGATGCTGAACGCGCTGTAGGCCCGGGAGTAGTCGTATCGCAAGCAGTGCTGGCCGTTCCCTCTGGCTGCGTACCCCATGCAACAGAGAACGTACTGCTCCGATCCATCGGGCACCGGGGGCGGTCGAGCTCCGTCATAGCATGCTCCACTCTGAAGAAGAAACAACATCAGTGACACCTCATTGGTCTTACAAGCGTAAAGAGCATCATCACCTTACTAACGTGACACTCGTCGTCTTGTTCAAAGTACTCGAAGGCGTTGTACAGCGTGTCGACTTGAGTAAGGGTAACCCCTGTGGCCACGGTAAGCTGCCGAGCCAAGAGCTTTCCTTTGTTGAAAGGTCCTCTGGGGGAGGATGAGGAGCCAGGGGTACCGAGATATGGCGTTTCGGAAGAGATCGAAACTATAAGAGGGTAGCTAAGCAAGTACGTTGGAGAGATGGAGCTTCGCTTGAAGGCTGTCCATGCACGGTTCAAAGTGGTGGCGCCATGTTCTAGGTTCAAAGAGATCTGCACCGACGTCGTGCACCTGTTCGCCAACGACTGGTTATGCAGGTGGATCGAGGGGAACCTATCAGGGAGTTTACAGCGTACTTCGCCCCCAAGCAAGAAGGTTCGCTCCAGGTGATGGCGTCAACATCAGTGCCTCCTACCGCACTCCTCGCTACACCAAACAGCAAGAGTAGAACCGTCAGCCAGTGAAGTCCTGGTTGGAGCATCTACCGCCAGTTGCTTCTCCTTCATCCCGGGAGACTTCCTCGCTGCAGCTTCACCGTCAGGCATTGACTGTCCATTCATCGCAACCTTTCCTTTCTTGGGTGACAAGATTCCCGGTTACTTCCCTGTATTGCGAGGACCAAAAAGAAAAAGAAGCGGAAAACAATACCCAGACTGAGCACCAGCCGCCCACGCCACACCAGCGTGATGGTTGGCATGGGCCAGAAGGACTTGTATGTCAGTGACAAGGCCCAGTCCAAGTGTGGTATCCTCACCCTCAAGTACCCCATTGAGCACAGCATTGTCACCAACTGGGACAACATGGAGAATGTCAATATCTGTCCACATGAGTTGGATACCTTTGCCAGGGACAACAGGTCCACATGAGTCAAAGGTACCTTCCAACTCATGTGGACCTGCCAATATTGAACAACACAACCTATGTAAGCCCACAACCTACCATAATGCCCACATTGGGCTGTTTGTATGTGAATGAGTTCATCAAGAGTGGATAGAAACCCAGTGTGTGCCCCCGAGCCAGCACCAGAGCCTGCTCAATCCACATTCTGCGCCATTCCAGAGGCCGACCACCGCAAGGTGTTTATTGGGTGGCTGCTCGAAAATAACAAATACCTCCATTCCTTTTGAGCGCCAACTTGGCCACCTCACATCTGGGTCCAGGGAAATTAAGCGCATTCGCTGAGATGGAGGAGGAGGGCTGTGTCGTTACGATTCCCACCTACTCCACCAAGCACGACGAGGGTGTAAAGGATGGCTACACGGTTCCGTTTCCTCTTCATTTATTAAATCTCCACAATTCCCTGAGAGATTTGCTCGCAATCCGTTGCTGACTCAAAGTGATGTTTTTATATCCACCGCAGGCATACCACATTGTGATTAACTGGAAGGGAAGCGAGTGGCGCACTGCCGTCCGCTACTCCACTTTCCGCCAGCTCCATGATGCGGTACCACCCTGCTATCTCAGTTGTATATTGTTTATTTTCATCTATTGTTATTTATTTATTCAATATTTCTGAGGCGCGCAGGTCAAGCGACGCTTCCCCTCGATACGCCTGCCCAAGCTTCCACCCAAGAAACTGATGGGCAACGCCAGTGAGGAGTTCCTCGAGAAGCGGCGCGCCGAGCTGGAGACCTACCTCAGCGAGCTCCTCTCGGTGCCCATCATCCGGGCGAGCGAGGAGGTGAGCCGCACACTCGAGCTCTCCTCCACCATCGACGTCGCCACTCTCAGCCCCCCCGCCACCGCACCTGCGCCCGCTCCGTCTTCTGATGGCCGGGTCTCGGCCCCCGCTTCCTCGTCGAGCGCAGAGCCGTCGAGCGAACACAGGTGCGTGTGTGCGTGCGGTGGTGTGTGTGGGTGTGTGTGCGTGTGCGTGCGCGTGCGGTGGTGCGCGTGTTATTGGGTGTGTGTCTCGCTGATCTGTGTTTGCACTCCCGCGCAGCACGCACACCTCGTCTTATGATACCTCGTACAAGCGGGCGGTGGCACTCTACGACTTTGACGGAGACGCCTCGCAAAATCAAATGTCATTCTACGTCGACGAAGTCCTCTACGTGCTGAGGTACAATCTTCTGCCCGTGCGCGGGCGGCTGTGTGTGTGTGTGTGTGTGTGTGTGCGTGCGCGCGGTGGTTGGTGCCCTTTCCGCTCACCTCCGCTTTGGGTCTCCAGCCAGGATGACCCCGAGCAGACGGGCTGGTGGTGGGGCGAAAAGGAGGACGGGACGCAGGGCTATCTCCCCTGCGACTACATTCGGTTCGAAGCAGAGCCTGAAGCGCCGCCACAGCCTGCGAGTGTGCCTCAACACGAAGACAACCAGGAAAAGCTGTCATCTCCGAGTCTGCGATCGCCACGGTATTTTGTCCTCGACGATTTGTGTGTCGTGTCGTGTGTCATACATGCGCGTCGTGTGTGTGCCGTTGCTGAGGTGATTCGGTGCGCGCATGCAGATTGCCAGCTGAGCCGGCGCAGTTTCCCCTGCCAGCTTTGGTTTTACCCTCGAGTGGAGGCGGTAACAACGGACTCGTCCAGCCCAGCCCTCGGGCCATGACACCACTCCCGTCGCCCTCCCAGGAGCGGCTGCACCCCGCCGCCGCTGTCGCCGCGTCGCACACGGCGAAGCCCGCCGGCGCGCCCATCGGCGCCGTTGGCGGGCCAGCGCCGGTCAATGTCCAGCGGCCTCGCCTCGAGGTGGGCAATAAGAAGCCGCCGCCGCCGGTGCCCACGCGCGGCTCGTCCTTCCCCTCGCTCCCGGCAGTTCCGGGCGCAGGGGGCGGGCCTTCGCCATCGACCTCTCCCGCAGCGGCCGCGCACAAGTTCGCCCATTCTTTGGGCAACGCGCCACCCCACCAACCACACCAGTCCGCATCGCCCGCAGCAGGCAACAAGGCTCCCACCGGTACGCAGTTGCGCGTGTGTCGTGTCGTGTCGTGTGTACGATAGCGTAGTAATTGCTCACATGTCACCTGGAATGCACCTCAGATGCGTCCCCAGGTCCTCGCAGGATGCCCGCTCCACCCCAGTACGGCGTATCCCAGGAACAGCTCGCCAATCGCATACGTACACATAAACCCGCATGCACGGACGACACACACGCACACGCACACGCGCACGCACAGACACGCACCGCCGCACACGACAGACGCACGCGCGCGCACAGGATATTGACTGAGAGTGGTGGCCTTGTCTTGTGGCAGGCGAGGTTGGGGATGGTCGACCGAGTCCGCCGCGCGCCCCGCTCGGCGGCCCGCGGCCCTACCAGCCAGGCCTCCCGCCCAGCGGCGCTGCCGGCGGGCACCCCATGCCGGCCATGCGACCCGCAATTCCCCAGCGCCCGCGCGGCGATGCGAGCGCCATCAGCCCCGCCAACCGCTCGCAGGACGGCACCGACGCCGGCGCCGGAGAGGGCCACCACCAGCGACCAGCGTCACCGGCGGCGGCCACGCCGCAGGCGACGGCCGCGGAGAAGAGCCATCGGCGGACGATGATCGCGACGGAGATCCTCACGACCGAGCGGACCTACGTGGAGGGGCTGAAGTGGCTCATCGACGAGTACAAGGCCGCCATGCTCAAACTCACCACGGAGCCCAACACCGCCATCACCGACGCCGTCATCAAGAAGATCTTCTCCAATCTCGAGGTGACGAGGAAACCCCTGTGCCCTCAATTTATTCAACCACTCATGACGTGTCGTGTCGTGTCGTGTCGTGTGTGTGTGTGTGTGTACAGATCATCAAAAATTTGAATCAAATGTTTGTCAACGATTTGGAGAAGCGGATGGAGGCCTGGGACACCGACAAGACCCTCGTCGGCGACCTCTTCAAGGGACTGGTACGTGCACACGCCACCCTGAATTTATTGTATTTTTGATACTTATTATTATTATTATATTTTTATTTCTCAATTAACTGACCAGTTGTTTTGTCTATTTAGGCTCCCTACCTCAAGATGTACAAGGACTACAGCAACAATTTTGAAACGGCCACGGAGACGTGCCAGCAGATACGCGAGAACGGACTCGTCACCGTCGTTCTCGACGTGCGTAGGCCCCGCAGCGTGTCTCACTGGCGGGCATCGTACTTTACTCACACCGCCCAACGCGCAACACCCAACGCGCAACACAGACGGTCAAGCCCAAATGTCAGAATCTGACGATAGAGGCGCTCCTGATCACCCCCATCCAGCGGCTGCCGCGCTACAACCTCCTCATCCAGGTGCGCCACCGCGAGTGCACACAACACGCGCGCGCACCACCGCACACGCACTACCGCACACGCCTCACCTTTTTCGTTGTGTACAGGACCTGCTTCGCAATACGGCGGAAACGCATCCGGACTACAACAACCTGGCGGACGCGCTGAAGTCGACCAAGGAGATCGCCGACTACATCAACGAGTCCATCCGCCAGGCCGAGCAGTCGGCCAAGTTCCGCAACCTCGCCACGCAGGGCGAACAGTTCCGCGTACGCCTCCCCCAAGCAGCCGCAGCCACGCGTTGAGAGGAGAGTGGACGCTTAAGCGGGCGGGTGTGGTGCGCAGCGCTTGCTGGAGGCGCACCGAACATTGGTGGCCGAGGGGAAGGTGACGCTGGCCGAGCGCAAGTCCAAGAGCCAGTGGATGCTGTGCCTCTTCAACGACATCATCGTGCCCGCCAAACTTCAACGGTATGCCAGCGACGCACGACACGCACGACACGACACGACGCACACGACGCGACGTGCACTAACGTTCCCTCGTGTTGTGACCAGAGGCGAAATCATCCCGCAGCTTACGGTGCCACTGCCACTGACGTGGCTACACACGGACGTGAAGGGTAACAGTCCAGGCGCCTTGCGGCTTGCCTCGAGTCGGTTGAACTGAATGCGTGTGTGGTGCTGCGCGCAGGCGTGAAGGAGCCAGCGTTCGAGATCATCACGCCCGAGCGCACGTTCGTGTTTGTGGTGGCCACGCCGCAAGAGCGGCTCAACTGGGTGAAAGCCGTCGGCGACGGCATCAACAATAATATTCAACACAAGGTACACACCACGCACGCACCCACGCACCGCGCGACACAGCGCTCGTTCTCAAGCTCTCTTTTTGCGTTGTGTAGGCCGACATGGATAACACCAGGCGGCACGGCACATATTCGTATTCGACGGGAGGCGAGTTCACCGGTCAATGGCAGCTGGGCAAGGTGTGTACCCCTCTTCACATTCTTCTTCTTCTGCCTCTTGTTAACGTCACCACACACACGCACACACACACACACACCACACACACCACACACACACCACACACACCACACACACACACACACACACACACACACACACACACACACACACACACACACGACAGCGGCATGGTAGTGGACGTCTGGAGTACTTCAACGGTAACGTGTACGACGGGGCGTGGCAGGAGGACATGCGACACGGCTACGGCACCCTGACCTACGCCACCGGCGAGGTCTACGAGGGCACCTGGGCCAACGACAAGAAGGGTGCGGGCCGCCACTGTTGTGTGTGTGTGTGTGTGTGTGTGCGTGCGTGCGTGCGTGCGTGCGTGTGGTATGTGTGGTGTGTGTGTGTGTGTGTGTGGCCCACCTGAGTCTCACCAGTGGCCATACAGACGGGCAGGGAACAATGAAATATATGAATGGCGCGGGGTACACTGGCCAATGGAAGGACGGCCTGCGTTCGGGCAACGTACGCACACGCACACGCACCACCACCGCACACGGGGAAGCTAAACTGTTTTCTTGCACACATGCGACAGGGCACGATCGCGTTCCCGAACGGGGACGTGTTCGAGGGCAAGTTCATCGGAGACAAGGCGCACGGCAAGGGCAAGCTGCGCTACCACAACGGCAACACTTTCGAGGGCTTCTTCGAAGACGACCGAGTACGCCACACGGCCACACACCGCACTCGGACCTCTTTTAACTCTGATTGTGTATGTGTGTGTGTGTGTGTGTCGGCGCAGAAACACGGGCTGGGCACGTTCAAGTCGGCCGACGGCAGCCGGTCGTACCAGGGCAGCTGGGTCAACGGCCGCAAGGAGGGGAGCGGTCTGATGGCCTACGGCGACGGGTCCACCTACCAGGGCAACTGGCACGACGACAAGGTACCACCTGTAGCCGCGTGTCCCAATACCCGCCAGGTGATGGCTGACGTCACGCTTTGCTTGGTGCAGCGGCACGGGCAGGGCAAGATGACGGAGAAGGACGGGTCGGAGTACGTGGGCGACTGGGTGAAGGACGTGCGGGAGGGCAAGGGCACCCACGCCACCAGCTACGGCCACACCTACGAGGGCCAATGGAAAGAAGACAAGGTTCGCTCACCCTGCAGCTCTTTAATTGTATTTTAAAGTCATATTATTATTCTTTATTTTTATTTCGTTTCTTATTGTTTCTGATTTATTGGCGATTAATGATGAATTATTTAATTCGATTTTCTTGGAATGTAGCGCAATGGGCATGGCACGCTGGTGACGAAGGAGGGCCACCGGTACGAGGGAGAGTGGGTCAATGGGCGACGGCAGGGCAAGGGTACCATGGTCTATGGCTCCGGCGACAAATACGAGGGCGTCTGGCACCAAGACCGCGTACGTGTATCGTGTGCGGTGGTGTGCGGTGTGTGCGCGCGATTTTCAAGGCGTTGACCATTGCACGCGCACACAGCCGCACGGCAACGGATTATGGACGTCGGCCGACGGAAGCAAGTATGAGGGCAAGTGGACGAATGGCGCACGCGACGGCAAGTGCTCAGTCCTCCCGCCTGCCAAACCCAAGGCACGGCCTGTCCCCCTCTTCCCGCTCGCGAAATGACTACATTGTTCTGATCTCTCTCTGTGTTGTGTGTCGTGTCGCGTGTCGTGTGAGCAGGACGCGGCTTTTGTGGGCACGTGCAAGGAGAACACGGTCATCGGGCACGGCGACAAGGTGTACGAGCTGGCTCCCTCCATGCCCGACCTCAATATGCTATAATTTCTGAGATGTTGGTTGTTTTATCACAAAATCAAAATAAAAATTTCACGCGTCGCTCTTTTTCTGCGTGCATTTCTTTTCCGCTTCTTTTCTGTTCCTTTTTTCTTTTGCGGTCACATGGCCGCGACGCTGAGGTTGCCGGTGGTGTTGGGTTCGTCTTCCAAGTGGCGGCGGGCGGTGGTGGAGGAGGGTCTGGGCCTCGCCATAGCCCGCACCGTGAGCCCAGACATCGACGAAAAGGCCATACGCCACCCGGACCCCTCCGAGCTCGTCCGCCTCCTTGCCGACGCCAAGGCCGATGCCGTCCTTCCTCAAGTACCTCACCCTCTCGCAACTGCTGCATCTTTTATTTGTCAACATTTATCATCAATCATTTCTTATTTGTTTATTTGTGTATTGTTTATTTATTAATTATTTAATTCTCTGCCAGGTACCGGAGGAGGCGCTGGTGATCACGTCGGACCAGGTGATCGTCTGCGAGGGGCAGGTGCGAGAGAAGCCCGAAGACGAGGCCCAGTGCCGCGAGTTCCTGCGCAGCTACGCGAGCCACCCGGCCGAGGCCATCGTCGGCGTCGCCGTCACCAACACCAAAACCGGTTCGACCTACTTCTCTTCCCTCCCTCGGTCGCTCGAAGAGGAAGACGAGGAGATGTTGAGCTGACGATGCATCGTGTGCGCCGCACGCAACACATGTCCTTTTGCTTGATCGCACGACACGCACGCATGAATGCAGGCAAGCGGGTCAGCGGTGTGGCCAAAGCCGTGCAGCACTTCAAGCCGCTCCCGGAGGAGGCCATGGACGCCCTCATCCGCCAGGGCGACGTGCTGTGGTGCGCCGGCGGCTTCGCCATCGGTACCGCCAACTTAACGCGCCACTCCAGCCACGTACTACAGCATGTGGGCATTGACACTAACAAACACTGACGCATTCGTATACGCAGAACTCATGGCGGACTACCTGGGGCCGCTGGAGGGCGAGAGGGAAACCATCATCGGCCTCCCCAAGACGCTCACCATGGACCTGCTGCTCCAGGCCGACGCCGACAACTGAGCAAGAGAGCGGTAAACAAATATAAATAAAAATACTTGTGTTCAGACTTGTTTATGGGCTGCTTCGGCTTCTTGGGGAGTGGTCGCGCTGTGGGCGGAGACCTGGGCCTGCAGCAGATCGCGCCACGCGCGGAGGAAGGCCTGGTGCTCCTCCGTGGCTTCGGCCAGTCCCGCCACGTCCCGTGCCTGCCGGGCCACCGCCTCCTGCACCGCCCCCACCTGCGCCGCAACCTACGAGAAGGCATCACCAGAAGAGATAAGTCAACCTACTTTTGGTTCATGAAAAAAGAGGGGGAAGTGGGCCGGGCAGTGCGCACCGCCTCCAATCGGCGCGTGAGCTGTGCTTGTGGGTCAGCCTCACGTTGGCCATCGCTTGCAATTAATTGTTTTGCAATTTCCTTTCCATTTCTTTTATTTTACACTTCGAAATTTCGGAGTTACATTAATCTGCCGAGTGACGTCAGCGCCTCAGTGCCCGACCGAGCCACTTGCACACTGGCAGTCCTGCTTCCACATCGCTGGCACAATCTGTGGGAAATTAAAGTTACTGCACATAAAAGATGGCGTTCATTCACACTCGCATCTCGTCTGCACTGGTGCTGATGAGCCTTCTGGCCCTCATCTCCATGCTTGCGTTTGCCACTACCGTGGAGGCGGCGCGCGATCCTGCACTGACGCACGAGGAGAACATCAAGCTGGCCCTGCGCGATTGGGAGCGTGGCCTGAGCGGCAAGCCCATCAACTGCCGTCGCTTCGTCGATCTCTTCATCGATGACGGCGTGTGGTCGTCTCCCGCCGGCGCTCGCAACAAGTCCGCCGTAGAAACCAAACGTACGCCACTTTCTTTCATTTTTTGGTCTAAATAAAATTATAAATTCTAATCAAACGTAAATATAAATAAATAAATAAAATAATAAACAATTCAGCAAGCTGAATACAATAATTATTTTATTTAGCTGACGTGCACACCACCGCTGCAGCGCACGTGATCAAGGGCCAGCGCCCGATGTACAACCACTGCGAGAGGGATCGCTTCTTCTCGGGCTTCGACCAGGTGGAGGCCTTCGTGTCGGGGCCGACCACGATCTCGGGCTTCACCGTGGCCTTCCCGCGCACCATCCTGCTCATCGTGAAGGACGTGTCGTGCCGCATGACCTGGCAGGGCATCGCCGTGATCGACTACGACGAGGAGTACCGCATCAAGAGGTGGCAGGACTTCTGGAACGAGGACGAGTTCGAGCGGCAGTGGAAGGGCTGCCAGTGGCCGGCCGACATCCTCCTCGACACCACCTCCACCACGCCAACTGCCACCAAGGCCGCCGGCAAGGAGGAGCTCTAACCCTACACACACGCACACGGCGATCGCACACGCACACACGCACACATGCAATGTTGTTGATACTGTTTATACACTGTTTTCCTGTTCACCATCATCAACGTGGCTTGATGCTGGCCTTGTAGTGGTTGGCTGCTGTGTGGAAGGAAAAGGTGGTGAAAAAGATCGAAGCGAGCAAGGCTGAGTTAAGCAGATCGATTGGATGGAGCCGTGGTGGGCAGCAACCACACCGCAGGAATGGATCGATAGGCTGGGCTGCAAAGTCACGGTTCAGCTGAAGGGAAGCCAGGCGCCAATCGAGGGCTTCCTCTACTCAGTCGATCCCGAGCTGCACCACCTCATGATCCTGCGACCAGCACCCCCAGCAGCTACTCTCGATAAGGTGCCTCCCCCCAACTCCACCACCGCATACGTTCTCAAGATTAAATTACTGAATCGATTTTTTTGCCATCATCTGCGCGATTAGCGGGTAGACTATCGCGTAGAGCGTGTGGTGGCGTTCGCTCATGCCATCACGGCCGTTCAATGTACGACTTGCTTCCCTGCGAGGCTTGTGCGTCCGTGCGTGTGTCGTGTCGTGCTGCATCTCTCTCTCTGACTGCTGAGCGTGTGCGCAGTTGGGAGTGAGCGAGCGCCGATGGCGCTCGACGGAGACGCGAGCCGTCTATTCACGCACCCGCCACCAGCTCAAGCCGAGTCGACCACCACCACCGCCACCGCCTACACCACCACAAACTTCCAACACCGCAAGGCCGTCGTGCAGCAGCTGCTCGAGAAGGTCCTTCTTCTCCCCTTTCTCTGCCTTCACCATCATCATCACTATCATCATCAAGTCTCACCCACGTCTACCATTGTTGAACAGGCCCTGATCCCGCACGCCGAGGAGAAGGGCGGCGTGATTGTGGTGATGGCCGGCGTGGCCTCGATCGACCCGCCCTACAACGCCGACTCATGTCGGTCGCGCAACGAGATCGTCCTCCAGCGCCTGCAGGCCATCCTCTCCACCCTTGTCCCCGCTTCATGAAGGCCACCAGGGGTCCTGGGGGCACAACTGTTAGATGACGTCATCCGCCACCTTGAGGTGAAGCAGTCTTCTTTTGGTTGTAATGTCTTTTCATCAAGGAAAAGGACTGCAGCCTCTCCAACACCACACAACTCGAAGCAAAGATGAAGTTCGTCGCCGTTTTGTTGTTCTGCATGGTTTGCAGCTTCTCGTTCGCCAGCGCCAAGAAGGTCGCTACCGAGGCCACCGCACCACCACCCGACAACTACCTCTGCCCGCGTACGCTCAACAAGATGATGATGATTATTAAAAAGTTAATTTGTTTTTTCCTCTTTTGATGTTTGGTGTGGGCGCAGTGTGCGAGTTGGTGGTGACATACGCCGAGGCCTATCTGTCCACGAACGCTACGGAGCAGGAGATCACCAACGCCCTCGACCGCGTCTGCAAAGTGGCCCCCGCCTTCCTGGCCGCCCAATGCGTCAACTTGGTGGCGACTTACCTGCCCTGGATCATCACTCAGATTCTCGACGGTGAAAACGGCGGTACGTCCACCTTTTCCACATGCAGGCCTCCAACCAGGACGCACGCTCACTCGCACACTCACACCCACTCACACTCGCACTCGCACGCACACGCACACACTTCTGTCAAAAACACAGCCAAGCTCTGCGAGCAGATCACAGTATGCCCGTCGAACTAGGCATCAGTCGCTGCTTTTTTCGTGTGTGTGTGTGTTCACGCGGTCCACCTGAACAACGTTCGCCTTTGAGACTCTACATGTTGAGATGGTGATGATCACTTGGGCGGCTGGAAGGCCTTGATGGTCTCGTAGAGCAGCGGGAGCTCCTCGACGAGGCCCAGGTGGTGCGGCCGCCAGCCCAGCACGTCGACGGCCTTCTTCGGGTTGACCACCACCGTGGCGTCGATGAACTGGCTCCAGAAATCGTCACCAGCCGGCTAGTAGGTGATGGTGCCGGCGAAGCCCACGAGCTTGGCGGCGCGCTGATTGAGCTCCTCCCACGTGGGCGAGCTGGTGGGCGAGGCGATGTTGAAGACCTCGCCCTTGGCCGCGTGAATCTTCTGCACCGCCAACACGTAGGCCTGGGCCAGGTCGTCCACATGCACCCACGACCACTTGCGCTCGCGCTTTCCTGTCGGTTGGGCCACGTCAGTGTGTGCGTGTTGCGTGTTGCGTGTGCGGTTGTGTTGTGTGCGTGTGCGTGTGCGTGTGCGTGTGCGTGTGCGTGTGCGTGTGCGTGAGTACCGCGGATGACCAGGGTGTCGCCGGTGATGTTGAAGAGGTAGGAGGAGAAGCTGCCCGAGTAGCCGTAGACGAAGCTCGGGCGGATGACGACGCCGTTGATCTTGTCCTGGCCCACCACCGCCTTCTCGTGGTCGATGCGCCACTGGATGAGCGGGTGCGGGTTGACCGGCGTGGTCTCGTCGACCACCTCCTCCGGGCGGTCGCCGTACACCAGCACGCCCGACGTGTAGATGAACGTCTTCTTTTGGTGCCAACCTTGCTCGGCCGTCTGACATCACCAGGACCACACAATCAATGCGGGCGTGGCGTGTGGCGTGTGGCGTGTGGCATGTGTCGTGTGTGTCGTGTGTCGTGTGTCGTGTGTGTCGTGTGTTGTGTGTCGTGTGTGCGGTGTGTGCCGTGTCGCTACCTCGACGACAAGATCGAGCAGCTGCTTGTTGGAACGGCCGGGCTGGGCCTCTGAGGTGTCGTACACGTTGTCGACGATGACGGACGCTTGCTTGACGTACTCGATGTAGGTCTCCGGCTTGCTCAGGTCTCTGTGTTGCGTGTCGTCGTCCTTGTTCAATCACGACCCACTGCGCAGCGTGGCCGTGGACGAAAAACGAAAAGGGCGGCGTACCCGAGGACGGGAATGATCTCGTCCCGACGGAGGGCTGCGGCCTTGTCCTCCCCTCGCACCAGGGCGTACACGCGGTACCCATTGCGCCTGAAGGCTCTCGCCACCTGGCCAAGAGAGTATTTACAATAATTTTTAATAAAAATTTGCACTTTTTATTTATTTTATTATTAGCAATAAAGGTGATAAAAAGTGGAGGGGACAGTGACCTGCAGGCCAATGTAGCCAGAACCGCCGCTTACGAACACTTTGGTGGACATGTGAGGTTTGTTGGTTTTGTTTTGTTAATGTGTTGTGTTGTGTTTCGTTTGGTGTTGGTTGTGTGCTTTGCCTGCGCTCAGTTTTGTGTGGCCTCTTTGCAGCACTCGGCGATTGGCCGCCGCTTGCGCCGAGAAGAACGAGGCGAGACGTTCGGCCGACCAGCGCGCCGAACAAGCAAGTCCCCTTATGTGCGAAGTTCCAACCCCCACTTCTACACGTCAGCTCCATTTCAACATATCATCATCATCATAAATATATGTTTATGTACATATTACATTGTTGGACACCACCAAACAAACGCTATGGCCAGGGCCTGCCAAGGGCGGCCAGCTCCACGCTCCTCCGTCGATGGGCCTCGACCGCGCCGCGCCGATCGTGGCCGTCGTCGGAAGGAGCTCGAGGGGCAGGCTTTGGTTGAGAGGGAAGCCACGGAGGCCTCCATGGTCGACCTGATGGTACTGCTGCGGCCAGGCCTGGTCGCCCTGGTGCTGGTGGTACGGCTGCGGCTGCGGCTGTGGGTGTCGGTGGAGGTGGAGCGCCGAGGGCGACGGCAGGGCCTGCGGGTGGTGAGCCAAGGCCGAGTGCGGCGTGGTGGTGGTAGGCGGGAGGACGTCGAGCGATAGCAAGAAGTGGTGGAGCGACGGCAACTGCGGCTGTGGCTGGGCGGGCGGCGCGGCAGTGTCGATCGTTGGTGGCGGCGGTGGAGGAGCTCGCGAGGCGGGGCTCGGCGGCCGACGCTTCGGTTGTCGCTCCACCACGTCCTCCTCCGGCGTAGTGGTGGCCACCTCGGCGGGGCTGCGGCTTCGCTTCCGCTGCGTCTTCCGCGCTGGGCGAGTGCCAGCAGGCGAGTCCCGACCCGGCGCCGGCTGCTTCGATCTTCGGCTGCTCCGGCGCTTCGCCGCGGCCGCCGGGAGCTGCTGTGCTGGTCGCGGTCGTGGTCGCGGGAGCGATGACCACCGCCGGCGGCGGAGGCCTTGCCCTGGCTCAGCTGTTGGAGAAGAAGCTCGCGCTGCTGCTGCAGGTGCTTCTGCCGCCTACGCACAGCCTCCTCGGCGTCGGCGAGCTCGGCCACCATCACCGCCTGCAGCGGCGGCGATGGCCGGGCAGGTACCGCAGGTGGTGGTGGTACGGCCAGGCCGGGCGCGGGCAGCCCGTACGCGGTCGACAGGCCGACCGGGGTCGTGGGCGGCGACAGGGACGACGAGAGCGGAGGCGACGACGCGGACGAGGGCACGACGGTCGTCGGGTGGTGAAAGGGCGCCGCGATGGCCACGGACGTGGGCACGTGCATGTGCTGGCCGAGCTGGTGGTGCGTCGTCGCCGGCAGCGGCCATGAAGAAGAAGAGGGCTGCAGCGGCGGAGGAGCGAGAAAGTCAAGCCCGGCACCACCGGCGGTGCTGACCGGCAGACCGAAGTGGTTCCAATCCCAGGGCAACCGCAGCTGTTGGCGCTGTGCTCCGACGTGCGGCGGCTCTGGGTGTCGTTGCGTGTCGTGCAACGAAAGCGCGGGAACGTTCACGTGACCGAACGACGTCGCAAGGTTGCTCGACACATCGACGATGGCATCTCGCCCAGGGGCCACCGTTGGCTGAGAAGACCCCCGCGGGGGTGCGGGGCGCAAGTCAGAGGAGGAGAAGGAAAGATGAAGAGACGATGAAGAAGATGAAGAAGTGGACGTCGGGGGTGAGCTGCCGGCTGCGTGCTTGTCTTGGCGGCTCGAGGTGGAGGAGGTGGTCTCGTCGTGGCGGCCCTGGTTCCGGCGAGCACGACTCCTAGGGGCCGTTTCTGGGGGTGTGGCGCTACGTTTTGTCGTCGACGTGCGGGCGGCAGTTCCGGCGGGCGACGTGGAACGCGTAGCGGTGGTTGATGTTGATGCTGAAGTAGCGGTGGAAGAGGACCTGCTTTTCTTCTTCCGCCTCGTGGGGGAGGTGGTGGTGATAGTGGTGGTGTTGCCTCCTTCGACTGGGCCGTCCTCTTGGGCCTCCTCGCTCATCGTAGTCGCCGTATTGAAGCTCGAGCGCTTCCTCTTTTGGTGACCCGCTGCTGCGGGCCGATGGTCGTCTACGCGTTGAGGGGCGCCGCCATCGTTGAGGATGAAGAGAAGCGAGGTCTTGTGCCATCTTTTTCTGCAGCCTTCGAAGATGAAGAAGATTCGGACGCGTACGGGGAAGTAGAAGAGGGTGGAGGACCCGCAAGGCTCAGCAGAAGCTCGGCCATTTCATCGAGGTTCGAGGAGGCCGCCATGCCCGTACTACAGTAGAGAGAGAGAGAGAGAGAAGAGAGAGTTCCAAGCGAAAGCAGAGGCAGTAGAGAAGAAGACAATGAGCCGTGCTGCCGTTGCTTGTAGCGTAGTGTCGTGTGAGCGGGAATGACGCCAGGCACTCCAACCAACCAACACACGAAACAGCCTCGTCCTCGTCTTGTGCTGCCGCTTTCCTGGGGTGATCTTGCTGGTCTTTACCCTGGTCAACCGCGTCATCGGCAATTGGCAGCTGCACGTGGTGCGCCCTGGAACTGCGGGAGCTCTTCGCCTTTTGCCGAGCTGCTGCGCCGTGTTCACCACCACGGAACCCCAGGTGCGCTCCACACACTTGTAGCTCACTTTGGCAAAAGCTACGCGCGGGGAAACCCATCAGCCGGGTATGGACGCCACCAAGGTCTGCAACTCAAGAAGAACACACTCAAAAAGAAGAAGAAGAGCACAGGACCCCCAAAAAAGTGTGCACCTTCCAAAGCAGTGCTTTTCCGCGCGGGCAGTTGTAGTCGGTTCAAATAAAACAAGAAAAGAAGCCGGCGAGCTGGCTTCTTCACTCGTACCACTTGAGGGCGCCCACGACGACAAAGCGGCTGGGGAGAGGTCCGGGGCAAGGGGCCAGCACGGTGAGCTTCTTCTTCTCCACGTTGACGTCCGTGCTGTGTGGTGTGTGCGTTGCATTGTTGCGAGGGAGCGTCACGCACACGTGCGTTAGCGTTGTGACGTGTGTCATAAGAACGATACAACACCACTCTTAGAGAGAGGCAGGTGGTGCGTACATGTACAGGAAGCCCGCGAGGTTGGTTTCGAGCAGGGCCTCGGGCGTCTTGGCGTGCGAGACGCCGATGATGGAGTGCACGATCTCCTGGGAGGGCTGGACCTCGACCAGCTTGGTGGGCGTGATGGTGCGCTCGGCGCCGATGGGCAGGGCGGACGATGGCGCGCGCGGACCGCCGCCGATGCGGTAGATCGAGATATCGGCAAAGTCGATGAGCGTCGAGTGCGGGCTCAGGTCGCCGCTGGGTCCATAGAAGTACTCCCTAATCTTGTCCACCCGCGTCTGCACATTGGCGTTAGCCTCCACCTACCCAGCACACACGACGCACACGACGCGCACACGACGCGCACACGACACGACACGACACACGGCAGATGGGGTGGAGTACCTGACGTCTGAAGTTGGGATCTCGGGTCACGACGCCACCAGATTTGTACAACTTGATCACCTCTGTCCGGAAGAAAGTAGAGCCCATGGTTGGGTCTAACACACGACACGCCGTGCAGTGGAGGAAAAATAAAACTAAAAATGGCCAGGCGAGCGCGTACGTGTTCTCCTGTCCTGGACCTGGGAGAGGTCCTGCTGGAGGTCCGAGTAGAGTCGCTCGTTGTCGAGGACGAGGACGACGGTCGCCCTGGTGGCGTCGATGGCCTGTCGGATGAGTTCGTACCCGACGCCGTCGATCCACCCGCACGTGTTCACGATCAGCCCACCGACCGATGCTGGGTTGGGCCACCACAACCAAAGAAAGTCGAATGAGTTGATGACAAAAGAATAAAGAGCAGACAACATGATGGTGATGATGCCGAAGAGGATGATGATTGATGATGGTTGGCTACCTGCTTGATTGAGCTCCATGCGGCGGTTGATGTCTCGCAGGAGGTTGCTGACCTGCAGCTTGTAGAGGTCGGGGTTGCTGCCGGGCGTCACGTCGCCGTACCAGTACACGAGCGGCGTCGCGAACTCGTAGCCCTCCTGCATTCACAATGGCCAAACGTCAGAACCGCTGCTGAGGCCTCATCGCCACCACCACCACCAAGTGTTGAGCCGAGCCGTTCGTTTAATAAACCCAACGTACAGACACGTCAACAGGCTTCTCGATTGGCAAAGAGGCGATCATGCCAGGCACCGAAGAACCCTGAACACAACACGGCACCACAACACAACACAACACAACGATGGCCACGACACGACACGACACGACACGATACACGACACGACACACAACGCAGTGACGTCAGCGATCCCAAGCAATGGCCCAAAACGAGCGGCAGAGTGGGCTTCGTACTTGGCCCACGTCGAGGTCGACGACGGTGGGTGTGCGCCCGAGCCGAGCGGCGTAGGATGCGAGGATGCGGCTGAGGGACGACTTGCCGGTGTCGGTCGGGCCGACGATCATCACCCGCGGGCCCTGCTTGTCCGTCCGCTCGGCCATGTCGCGCATCTCCTCGAGCATGCCGTGGACGTTCATGTAGGCGTTCATGGGCGTCTCCTTGCCCACGTAGGCGTGGCACTGGCCCGTCACTTCGATGGTGCAGCCGTGCCACGAGAAGAGGGCGAACTTGCACCGGGTGAACGTGTAGGCTCGGTCCTTCGCCAGCTCCGTGCCGAATATCTCGCCCGTGCCGTCCGTCATCTACACCACACCGCAGACCAATAAATCAGATTTAAAAGAAAAGAAATAAAGAAATAAATAACGATGGTGGCGTGCCTTGAGCGTGATTTTCACATCTTTGTCGACTTCAATGCGCAGCTCCTCCTGGCGCATGAGGTGCCACGAGCGCACGCTCTCCATTTCCTGTGTCTGCTGTGGCGCGTTCATCGCAATCTCCTCCTCTCTGGCACTACTGTGCCGCACAGCTCCTCTGCTGCCGTTTTTTCAGCGGCCGTCTTCTTTGTCGAAGCTTTTTCTCTTTCTGATTTTATTCCGAATTTCTTTTCTGCCTCATAGCTCACATTCTTTGCAAAAATAGGAAAGCGGTGAAAGTTGAGCACCATAGCTTGGTTGCTACAAACAAGAAGAGAAGCACAAACCAAGACTACGACAAGACAGACCAGAGATGAGCCTGGCGGACCAGCTGAGCAGGAGCCGGTTGCGCAAAGTAGACAAGCCGAAGGAGCCACCATCGCTGCTCAAGGAACTCAACGCCTACTCCACTGTCGACCTCACCAAGCTACGCGCGACCAGCATCCCCGCACGTCGCTTCGACCCTAGCTCGGACCAGTGGGTCCCCTGTGACCCTGCCTCGGTATCTACCACGTTTTATTCATTTTATTTAGTTTTTAATTAAAGCAATTACTTATTCTCCCTCTACGGCAATACAGAGCGCCGGCACCCTGCCACCGAAGCTGAGGGTCTTGACCTTCAATGTGTGGATCCAACAGGACTTCCTTGACCAGAGGTACACATGGTGGCGTATGTGCTGGAATGTGCTTGGAATGTAGAGTGTGCGAGTGGGTGCTTATCTGGTGTCCATCCGCCCATCCAGAATGGGCGCGCTGGTGTCCATCCTCGAGCAGGAGAAGGTCGACATCGCGGCACTGCAGGAGGCCACGCCCAAGCACCTCGAACAGCTCCATGCCCATCCCTACGTCAGGTTCGTGGTCGAACCATTCTTGACGTCTTTGCGCTGGCTGCGTCGGTTTTGGTGATGAAGCCTCACACCAGGCGGCACTTCTCCGTGAGCGGATTTGAGGGCCAGTGCTCGACCTACAAGACCCTGATCCTGTCCAAGATACCCTTCGCCTCGCTGATCTCCAGCGACATGCCCTATTCGGGGAGGAAGGTCACCACCGGGTCCTGGAGGTTCTGCGCTCCAGGTATCGCCCAGCTCCCCCGGAGTGCGGTCATGTGTGATTGCTTACCACGACGGTCCACTCCAAACAACGCAGGTGGAGCGGAACAGAGCTTTGCGCTCAGCTCGGTCCACCTCACGAGCGAGGCCAACGATTGGAAGCCGCGAATGGAGCAGCTGGGCTTCTTGGACTCCAGGGTGGGCCCGACCACGACACCTCGGTCATCGTCGGCGACTTCAACTTCTTGTTCAAGCGCGAGGAGGTAGGTTCGTCTACCTATAGGAGTGGACGAAGTGTTCACCTTGTGGCTCGCTGCGTGATTGATCATCAACAGAAGGCGATCGAATCCAACGGCTACACGGACGTGTGGCATGAGCTGCATCCCACCGACCCCGGCACCACCTTTGACAGTACCATCAACCACCACGCCGCCAGCACCACCATGCCCAACTTTGCTGCGCGCCTCGGTACCACCAAGCCACCTTTTTGAGTGCCAATGGTGGTATCATCAAAAATGGCTGACTCTCTCATCTGCCGGCAGACCGAGTGACGCTGAATCCAAGGTCGGGTGGCGGGCGTCGAAGATCAGCATTGTGGGCAAGACGCCCATCGTCCCCGGCCAGCTCTTATCTCTGATCACTGGGGCCTCCTCACCACCTTCAAGTCCAGCTAGCGTCACTTGCGCTACTGTACAGGTCAGCCAGGCTGATTGGTCCACCTCAGCCGTATTGCAGTGTTTGACGAGTTTGACGGCGTGGACACTTGTTGTGTTGTATGTTCACAACTGACCAAAAGATGGAGAAGCGTTCTGGCCTCGCCTTCGTCTTCGTCTTCGTTCTTTGCCTTTCGCTCTTTGGTTTCGTGAGCGCCCAAACGGAGAAGAAACAAATCTCGTTGGCGGCCCACGAGAGATTTGAACATCTGCGGCACACGTTCGCGATCGAGGAAGAGGGAAGTGATGGAGGGGAGGGCGGGCACCTGGCGCCGTCGCCCTCGTGGGAATGCGACGTGTGCGAGGAGCTGGTCAAGGAAATCGTGCCCATCTTGAACTACAACCGATCGATGGGAGAAACCCAATTTCATCGCGAGATGGATGATCTCTGCGTTCGCTTCTTCGCCGATGACGGCTGGCTCATCGGCTTCTGCCAGTACATCATATCCTCTACACTGTCCCTAAACACAGAATTTATTTATTTATTTATTTATTCTTTTAATTATCCTATTCTTTTATTTATAATATAAATGAAACAGTAATTATATAAACTATTTTTAAATCCTCTTTATCATTTAAAAATAATGCAAAACAATGACTCCATAACTCTTGTACGTGGACTCGAATGGTCTGGAGTTCTACGAGATCATCGTCAAGAGGCAGCAGCCCCAACAGGCGTGCGCCCTGCTTGGCTATTGCGATCAACAACAGCGCACGCCAGGTCCCGTTCCTCTTCCACGCGTGTGTCATGTGCGTCGCGTTGGGTGTCGTGTGCGTGTGCGACGCTGGTATTAACATCATTTTAAACAGGCGAGGAGCGAGAGCGAGGTGAAGCAGCAGTCTGCGAGCGCTGGCCCACGCCACAACCAGGATCAGGAGCTGCAGAGCGACGCCTGGGCCTTCGTCGTATCTTCGGACATGCACATCGGCCAGGAGAGTGACAACGTACGGCGCGCGCGCGGGCACACACGTCCCATTCTTCTTCTTCTTTTCGTTCTCCTCCTCGCATTTCGCTTTGTTCGTTCTTTGATTGAGCTCAAATGTCGAGTGGTTCAAAACACCAGGCGCCCTGGCTCAATCGCGTGGCGATCGAGAAGATCAACAACCTCACACGACAGGAGAACATTAAGATGGTCTTCATCACAGGCAAGCGACACTTAACCTGCTTCGACTCTCTGTTTCACCGACCGGCGCTAACCCGTGCGCGGTGGTGCGTGTGCTGTTGGCGCGTGCAGGAGACATCACGAACTCGGCCATGCCGGAGCAGTGGACCAAGGCCAAGGAGGTGCTGTCCCACCTCAAGGTGCCCTACCTGCCTGTCTTTGGGAACCACGACATCTGGAGCTACAACTCCACCTACGAGGAGCCCTACCCGACCGGTACCGGTTCCCTCCACTTTGCTTTCCTCCGCGCGTGTGCGTGTGCGGTGGTGCGTGTGCGTGTGCGTGTGCGGCCGAGTTCGATTGGGTTCACCGGACGATTGGGCGGCGGCGGGCAACAACGCAGGCGACTTCAAGTTCGCTGCGACGTTTGGCGACGTGCTGGCCGATCCTGGTATTCCGGCGGCGCGCTACAGCTACAACAACAAGACGACGTACAACCCCGAGCACAATATCAACTCCTGGTTCCAGGTATGTCCCCCCACACGCACCCCGAAGCACTGATCTGCTCACCTCGTTGGGTGTGTGTGTGTGGTGTGTGTGTGTGTCGTGCGTGTCACACAGAATTGGGAATTGCAGTACGACAACTTTGTGTTCTATGGGCTCGACTGGATCAGCAGGTGTGTCAAAACCACTCAGCCATCCGCCACTGAATGACTCACCTGTGCGCTGTGCGCGGGTGCTTGGGACTGCTGCAGAGCGCATGCGGTGAGCCAGTTGGGCTACAAGGGCGGCTGGCCGGGCGCGGCGCTGCAGAACTTTCCCGGCGGCACCTACCCTTGGCTCCAGCAAAGGTGCCCTGTCCTTCACACTACATCGGCACAGCTCTTGAAAGTTTGATTCTGATTGGCCGCACGCTTTGTGAAAATCCTTGTCAGGCTTGAGGCGTTGAAGAACGACAACAAGACCGTCGTCTTCCTCCAGCACCACCCCTTTGCCATGCCCATCTACATCCCCGAGATCATCTACTCGTTCTCCTACGAGGTCCGACCCATGTGCTCCATGTCGATTTCCTACCGTCCGATGCCATTGACATTCACACGACACACACGACACACACACACGACACACACGACACACACGCAACGCGCCTGTCACGCGACACGCACGACACACGCGAACCCGACAGGACAAGACGCAGATCCTGAAGCTCATGATGGCGAACGGCCAGCAAGACAAGTACTGGGGCGTGATCGCCGGGCATCTGCACATCTGGTTCGACGGCCAGGCGTTCCCCTACACCCACCAGAGGTAACTGCATGGTCAGCACGCAGTGGCACTCCACGCGCATTCACTCACGCGGTCATGCAGGCAATGGCTGACGGAGGCGACGAAGACGGGGTCGTCGTTCACGCTCGTCAAGGTGCGCGACGGCCGCATCGTCTCGCTCGAGAAGCTCTTTGGCTACGACTACTAGCTCTTTCTTGCTCATGAAAAATCAACATTCTCTAAAACCACAAAATGGCAAGCGGCCTTCTTCGAGAGGGGGGGAGCTCAGTTGTGCCGAATGGTGACGGAGAAGGGGCTGTTGACGGTCAGCGTGCCGTTGCATTTGGTGCTGGCGGGCGAGTTGAGCTGCCACACGGGAGGCACGCTGGAACCATCGCTCAACTGCGGACACGCACAAGAAAAGAAAAAAACGCGAATCGCGCGTGAAGAAGCCAAGTGGTGTGTGGTCACGAACAAAAGAAAGATCGCCGTGGCGTACCACGAGCTTCATGTCGTAGAAGGAGACGGGGCCAGAGGCAAACTGGGCGCAATCAGTAACGTCATAGGTCTCCAGCGTCACATCGACCCAGTTGAACTTTCGCCCTGCGCGTGTCACCATGCGCGTTGGTCGTTAAGCCGGAGCGCACACATCGGAGGCTGGTTGGAAATCACAGCGTACCGGCATCGGGCACGGTCAGCTGCGTGGACTGCCTTCCGAAGCTCGAGTAGACCACCCAGTTATCTGTAAACAAAAAAGAACGAAGAGAGAGAAAAGAAAAAATGAAGACGATCAGAGCGGGGGGAAAGAGAAGAGCAGGAAACAAACAGCCCGCGAGCGTACCGCCGGACTGGTCGATGACGCCGTCCAAGACATCTCCCGGGCCAAAACCCGAAATCGGAGTCGATTGGTGCGCCTGGCCTGCACATACACACGAGTCGTGTGAGCAGCTCATCGCCTTGGGCGTAGCGCCATCTTGAAGTCTCTCTTTTCATGAATTAGGGGGCGGAGCTGGTCACACACCTTGAGGGCAACAGTTCCAAGAGGAGAAGGTCCACCCGTTCGTGTAGTACGTCAAAACGGGCTGCAGGATGGTCACGCCAATCTGCAGCGCCAGCAAGACTCGCGTCAGTACTACGTGGCCAAATAGTGAGCGTTGTTTTTGCGCGTGCGTGTGTTGTGTGTTGTGTGGTGTGCGTGTGCGTGTGCGTGTGCGTGTGGGTCCCGTACACCGGTCTGGAAGTTCTCGCTGCCGATGAACCAGTAGAGGAGGCCTCCCATGTTCTTGGGCGTCTGAGGCACGGTGTAGCGACCTCTGCGCAGAGTGCGCGCATGAGCTATGCGCGATAGGGGAGGGAGGGGGCAAGCGGGAAGGGTCGGTGCGCGTACGAGAAGTAGTGCACGAGCTGCGACGGGTAGTAGCCGACGTAGTCCAACCAACCTACCCCGCCGCAAGAGCACACGCACACGCACCACCGCACACGCACACGGAAGGTGAGGCCAAGTAGAGGGCATGGCGGGACGAGACGGCGAACCGTTGGAGGGCGGGAAGGTCTCGGTCGGGACGTCGGAACCGGCGGGCTGGCTGCTCTGGCTCAGGCGGGCCTCGGTCGCGGCCATGCGCTCCTTCAGCCACGCCACGCACTCGGGGCGCGTAGGCAGCTGTAAAATTATTTATTTATTGGTAAAAATAATAATATGAATAGTAAATAATAAATAAAAGAATAATAGGAGATAAAAAACGCACATGAACGTCTCCTTCAGGATGAGCGACGTGGACGCCGCCCTCGACCTCGCGGATTGTGGCGCCGCTCCTCACTCTGTGGACGCTAGAGGACAGAGAAGAAGATGAAGGTGAATACCGGGTTGGGGGGGGGGTGACGTTGTGCCGGGGGTCAGCCTCGGTACCAAGTCTCAGGCATCATTCCGAAGGGGGTGGGAATGTGGCCCATGCCATGAGTAGCCACGGCCAACAGGCCGATGCACATCAACACCGCCAAGGCCTTCATCTTGGTAGCGAGCGCGTAACTGTAACAAGACAGTTTTGCGAGCTGTCGACGTGCCGGGTATAAGGGGCAAGTTTCAGTTTTGTTTCAGTTGGCTTTCTCTCTTCATGCCACCCCCTTGTCCACGAGCTCGAGATGGGGTTGCGATTTGATTATTGAAGATTGAACTCAGCGCAAGCGAATTGCAGAAATGGTGCGATACATGGTGTGCCTGGACTCATCAGATGATGCCCCTAAGGTGCGAGCTCCTCGCCAGGCCTGTAGAAACATTGAAGATTAACTCTGTGTGCGCTCGTGCGCATCTCTCGCAGATCTTCCAACGTTGCCTTGAGATGGTCGTCAACCCTCATGCATCCATCCATCTGCAGAGTGCTTCTTCTTAACGTTGATGTTGTGCTTTGTTCCCAACCTTCAGGCAAGTAAGGCTGGAGGTGAGGACGAGCCGCACGTGTTGCTCGTGGGCGTCGCGGAGACCTACCGCCGCAGTAAGGTCATCAACGTGCTGCGCGTGGACTTTGACCTTCAGGTGTTGGACAAGGCCAACAAGCACATCATCAAAGACACGCAAGGTCATTCCTCCTTTGCGCGGTCGTGCGTGTGCGGTCGTGTGTGCGTGTGCGTGTGCGGTGGGCTGACCGGACGTACGCACGCACAGAGATGCTTGAGGACTTCAAGGGCGAACTGACAAAGCGAGGGGTGCAGGCCAGCGTGGTGGTCGAGTCGGGCGACCCGCGCGAGAAGCTGTGCGAGGTGGCCGAGCGAGAGCGGCCCGACCTCATGATGCTGGGCCACCGCGCCACCAGGCTCCACCACCTCGCTCAGGTGGGCAGCGTCGTACTCCACTGCGTCGAGCACGCACCCTGTCCGTCTACATCGTGCGCGTGTAGCGTCATCCACTCTACAACATCAACATCATTACTCTACGTTTGCCAATCAAAAGATTGAGTGTTACATTGGGGTTCTCTGGATTCAGCCGCGGACGACGTTGGTCACTTGGCCGGCTTCGTCGACGTACACGCGGGCGCGGTCCGTGCGGTAGTCCATGGTGACAAAAGTGTCCGGCGGCACGACCTGCACGTTGGTCACTTCGGGCAAAGCGGCCTGGACGGCACGCACCGCTTCGGCCGCGGGCTTGCCCACCAGTGCGCGAAATCTACTTCTTCTGTAAAGATGTTGATGTTGTTCGCCCGGGGCACATCGTGCAAGCCATCGTGTGTAGGGGCGACGTGCCAGACATGATTTACTGTGCTGCTGTTGTTGTTCGTTTGTGCAGTTGTTTCTAGATTGCTTGTGGGCCTCTTCCGTGCGCCCGAAATAATAAAATGCCAAGCATTCCTTTCAAATATTGTTTAGTCGGAATGTGGAATGCCAGATATTTCGTCGAAAAACCGCTCTGCCGACAAGGCGGAGCACAGCCGCGCTCATCATCTCTTCCTCTTGCCGAGCTCCACCTTGGCGTCGGTATCGTCGGCTCCTTCTTCGGTGCCTGCGGCAGCCTCCTTCTCGCCGGCGTCCTCGTACCGCGCTTCCTCCTCGGTCTCCTCCTGCTTCATCTTCCCCTTCTCCTCCGCCTTCTCCTCGGTCTTGATCCTCTTGGCCGAAGAAGCCGAAGTTGACTTCGATGTTGATGTCGACGTGGATCTCGAAGAAGACGATGACGATGCGCCTCTGCCCCTGGCCGCAGGTTTGCCGCGGGCCGCGGCGGCGGGCTTGCCTCGACCCCGGCCACGGCCGGCGACGCCCTTGCCCTTGGGGTCCTCCTTCTTCTTCTGCGGCGACGAGGTGGCCTTGCCCATGTTGGCGACGAAGCCGTCGAGCCGGCCCTGCACGGCGGAGCCGCGCGCCTTCTTCAGCTTCTCAATGCCCTTGCGCACGCGCTCCTCGTTGAACTGCTTCTCCTTGACCAGATACTGCAGCAGGCCCTCCTCGTCCGGCTCGCCCCACTTGAGCTCCACCTGGTCCCCAGGCGTGACCTGAGGCAGCAACGACATGTCAGGCGCACGCACATACCACACGACACACGCAACAACAGGATACGACACACACACGGCACACACGACACACACGACACACACGGCACACACAGAGGATGAAAGGTGTACGTCGGGGTGCTTGAAGAGCTCGCGGACGGCCTCGTAGGGGAATGGCTCGGGGAGCGGATACTTGGCCTTGTCGAGGTTCTTGAGAGTGCCCTCGATGGAGCCGTACTTCCGGATCATCTCCAGCGCTCGCTTCGGGCCAATACCTGTCGACCGTCACATGCGGATCGTACGGTAAGCAGTTCATGTCGACGCTCAGTTGATTGAATGCGCTTTGCAGAAGAGAGAGAGCGCGCGTCGCACCTCGGATTGTGTCACAGTAGTCGCAGCCGGCCAGGATACACAAATCGATGAACTGCTCCATCGTCATGCCAAACCCCTTGAGCACTGATGATCATTAGAAAAAAGTAGTGCGGCGCACGTGTGAGTAGAATGCCAAAGAAAGAAGAGGGCCCGGCCTGGGCGCCTGGTGAAGGGTACCCTTCTCGAGATCGATCTCGATGATGGGCTTCTTCTGGGCCTCGGCGTAGTTGAGGTGGCGGAGGAGAATGGGCGTGGCAAAGGTGAGCGAGTCCATGTCCTCGGACCCGGTGGCAAAGACTTTGCCCGCGCGGCACAGCTCGGCGCACTGGGCCTCGGCTTCGGTGGGCGCCTCGACCACGGGGATGCCCATGAGGCGGAGCAGCTTCTTGCACTCTTCGTTGTGCTTGGGCGTGACGTGCACGGTACGCTTCTCCAGCTTGCGCATGGTCTCGGTGTCGCCGAGCTCGGTGGCCTCCTCCAGGCCCTGCTCGGCCTCCTTCTTCTTGGCAGACCGCTTCTTGAGCTCGGTGCCCTTCATCACCGGCGGGCGACCATCGAAAACGTACACCGGCTTGATTCCGTAGGCGATCAAGCGCAGCGTGCGTGACCAGATGCCCATCAAGTGGCTGCAAAGACGAATTAATATAATAATTAATAAATTAAGCAACAAATAAAATCAGCAAGATTAACGTGAAGTCTAGAGCGCACCTCGTGGTTTCGCCGGCCTCATCGGTAAGCCATATGCCGGTGTCCGGGCGGATGGAAATCAAGAACGCGTAGAGGGCCATGGAGGCGTCAATTGCCACCTTGCGGCCGAAGTAGTGCTTCACTTCGGTTTCCTTCAGCGCCTCGGGGCAGGTATCGCCTATGAGCTGTGTCAATCCCTTGATGCCCATGTTCGGTCCTTCTCGTACGCCAGCTGTTCGGCAGTGAGTCAAGATGAGCTCTTGCTGTCGCCCACAGCTACTGTTCAACGGTTCTCGGAACACTTTCCCGCCAAATGATTTCATTTGAAAATATGTTTTCCTTGTGCACAAGGAGGGAAAATGGCGTGAGGAAATGCTTCAAAACGGCCACCCAGCTGATTGCTTCACTCCCAACGCCCAAGTGCTCTGCTTGTTGGCGCCATCTTCTTCGCCTTCGCTGCGGTCTGAGCTCGTGCGAACAGAGTGCATGAGCCATTCGGCGTGAGGTGAACAAGAGCTGAGAAATGGCTCAGAATACTGTGCCCTACACAGCTGGACGCAGACCACCAGTGCGTGATTGTAAATCAAACAAACAACGGAAGGAGAGGAGACGATGCAAATAGAGCGATCGAGGGAGGAGAGGGTGTGCAAGGCGGCGGCCATCGAGCCGGCCGTGCTGAGCCTCCCGCTCAACGACGAGCAGCTGCGACAATACGACGCCGACGGCTACCTCGTCGTGCCCGGCGTGGTGGAGCCCCAGCTCTGCGATAGCATCGTCGCAGAGACCTGGGAGCGACTCGACAGCTTCTTCGGCCTCAAGCCTGGTTCGTTTTAATCTTCTACTACTTCAACTAGTTCTACACAATTCAACTGACGACCCGTCGTCGGCTCCAGAGGCAGAGAAGCCCTGGGCCAAGCTGCCCATGCACAGCTGCGTCGACCTGTGGCATGTGCCGGGCCTGTACGAGCTGCGCCAGCACCCGCACGTCTACTCGGTCTTTGCCCAGCTCTACGAGACCCACAAGCTGTGCGTTAGCATCGACCGCGTCAGCGTCAAGCCCACCAAATACGTACGTCTGTCGTCTCCTAGGATTGTGGAAGAAGCAGAAGTAGAAGAAGACCAAGGAGTGCTCATGACTTTCGTCATCAACGTCATCATTAGGACGAGGACGGGAACGTGGGCACGAACGAAGGGCTGCCGGTGCACACGGACTGGAACTTCTGGAAGCGCTCCGAAGCCTACCCCGAGATCCAGGGCGGGATCTGCCTTGCCGACTGCCCCGTGGGCGGTGGCGGCTTCTTCTGCATTCCTGGTACATAGACTTCTACTCTGTTCATCGCGTTTGCCGTTTCTAACTGTTCAACTCACGAGTTGTGTGGTGTGCTGTATGCTGTGGTGCTCGTGTGTGTGTGTTGTGTGTGCGTGTGCGTGTGCGGTTTAAGGCTTCCACAAGCCAGAAGTGATCGCCGACTACAAGCGGCGATTCGAGAGTGGTGAGTTTGGCGACAACCGCATCCCGCACTCCATGTTCGTCAGCTTCGCCGACAAGGAGTACGCCCGCGACCACGTGATCGAGGTGCCGCTCAAAAAGGGGGACCTCGTCGTGTGGAACAGCTGCCTCCCGCACAACGGCGGCCAGAACACCATCCCGGGCCTCTGGCGGCTGCAGGCCTTCGTGCGCTTCCTGGCCCTAGACGGACCCTTCGTCACGCCCGAGATCGCCAAGGACCACCGGTTCTACCGCAAGGTGGCCTTCGCCGCCACGCAGTCCGGCGAGAAGCCCACCCACTACTCCACAGGCACCAAACGCCGCAGACTAATTCTGTCCCACACCTTTCCTGACATAGGCGTGCGTGCGGTGGTGTGTGTCGTGTGTCGTGTGTCGGGGAGTTCAGGCAATGCGGTGAGAGGACAGGCCAAGACGAAGGACAGGGAGAAGGAGATACACGCGCCCCCCGTCCTCAGCCCTCTGGGCCGGCGCATCTGGGGCGTGGACAAGTGGCCCAGCAAGCCCCGGCAGACCCCGAGGGACGACTCAGCTGCAGCAGCTGCAGTTGCTGCCGATCGAGTGGACGCAGAGCAGCCTGCAAGCCAGTGAGGTTCGAAAGATCATCAATTCTAGCACACAACTTGAAAACACAACACAAGAAACAAGGGTCGGCTGAAGAAGGCCAACTTTGTTCATCGTGGCTCGTTTCTCGTCCTTGTGGAGAGGGTTGCAGTCATAGCCAAAGCAGGTCAGAGGCAACGTTGTGTTTTCATATTTTTGGACATAAGGCACAGGAAAATGTGATATCGGTCACACCACAGACCTGACTCAGGCAGTCCGCTTCCCTTCCCTACCAAAACCTTCCACCTTCCACGTGAAAAGGCCTCCCCATGGCTGCTGCTAGGTCTCCACCTGACTGGAAGCGCTTTACTAAGCTGACCCTCAGTACCCTGGCCGAAACGAATGGTGTGTTTCTCGGCACGACCTTCGTGGCCATCGGCCTAGGACCAGGAGAGAGCACTGACGGGTTGCTGACGAACTGGGCCTTGTTCTGCGGGGTCGTTGCCTTCGTGTGCTTTCTCACCTCTACCATCCTCGCGTTGACATCTCTCGTGGTCGGACTACTGAAAGACAGTGATGTGGGCAAGACAGTCAAGACCGAAAAAACGATGGCCATTGTTGCTGCGCTCTTGACAGCCCTGGGTCTGGTTTGGCTCCTGGCTTCGGCGGTGCTCATCGTCCAGGCCAGGATCGGTCCTGCATTCTCGATAGGAAGCGGCCTCTCCACGGCCACCGTGTTCATAGCTTCAGCACCGGTTGTGGTCATCTGTGGTTGTGGAATATACTTGTGTATCTTCGTCGGGAAGAGACTGATGCAATAGTGTTTCATACAAAAGACTTCTTCTTAGCTGCGTCTTTGTTGTTGTTGTTGGCACGTGCTGGTGCCGATGGAGGAGGCGCGGTTCAACGGGGCGCTGGCAGGCAGTTGAGGCGGCTGGGTGGGCAGGCGTGATTGGACGTGATCACGGACGTGGGTTCGCCGCTGCCCTTGCTGGTCCTTCTGGCGCGTGTGCTTGGGGGCGACGTCGAGAGTGTGGTGGTGTCAGCAGATCAGTTGTGCCGTGGGTCGTTGGTATCTGGTCGGTGTATGTTGGTGCGTTCAACTGCACCCAAAAACTGTTGACTGTGTCGTGGTGGCAAAGTTGCGCCGAGGGAGGCAAGCAAGGACTGTGGACTGTGATAGATGTTTCGCCGCTGCACTTATTGAGGCCCCGGTACAAAAACAAAACGGCCTGTACGAGTCACCATCATCACCATCAGCTCCACCAGATCATTACAGCTTGTCCTTGTGGTCGAGATTGACGGGTTTGAGGATCGCGTTGGTCCCGAAGGCAAAGTGCTTGGAGATGTCCGGCGAGAAGCGGCTGGCGGGCGGCTGCCTGCCGAGGGCCTCGGCCATGCTCCTGATGTGGTGCGGTCCTGCGTCGAGTGCACACCACCCACCACATCAAGGGGAGGTCAGCGTAATCGAACCAGCTCACTACTACTACTATGTTGTGGAGGCAGTTCTCACCTGCGCCGCAGCACACGCCAAAGTAGCGCACGCCCAGCTCCTTGCACGCTCGGTGAACTCGGCGATCTCGAAGCGCGTGCACAGCTTGCCGTCGAGCGCCACCGGAACGGGCGCCCGTTCACCGTTCCCTTGGGCAGCTGGTCGTCCTTGAGGCAGAAGAAGGTGGGCTCCTGCTCGGTGGTGCGATAGGGTACGGGCAGCGCGGCCAGCGGGGTCTTGATCACCTTGGCCACGCTCTCGATCAGCGGCAGCATCGTCGCAGGCCCGCGGTAGCAGTTGAAGCCCACCACGTCCGCTCCCGCTTTCTGCGCAACACAAGTGGTCAGTCAAGTGGTGGACAAACGCAGGCGAGCAGGGGCGCACCTCGAGCGCGAGCAGCGCCTCGACGGCCGAGTAGCCGTCGCGGGTCTTGCCGTCCTGGTGGATGACGATGGTCACCACCGAGGGCAGGTCGAACTCCTCCTTGATGACCTCGTTGGCCAGCAGGGCCTCGCCCAGGAAGCCAAAGGTTTCGGCGATGACAAAGTCCACGCCGGCCTGCTTGGCCCACTTGACCTGCTCCACGAACATCTCACGTACGCTCTCCGTGACCTCCGCGCTCTGGTCCTTCCCCTCCCACAGATTGGCTGAAGAGGTAGCAGTCGAAGAAGAAGAAGAAGATGTATGAGAGTTGGCCCAAGAGAGAGTAGAACGAGTAGCAGGAAGAGACTAGAAGAAGGGAGCAGTACTTACAGTTGCAGATGTTGCCCGCGAACAGGGTGCCGGTCTCGTCGGCCACCTCCTTGGCGATGCGCAGAGCGGCCAGGTTGAGCTGCTCGAGGGCGTCCTCCTTGCCCACCAGTCTCAGCTTCTCGCGGTGACCAGTAGTAGGTCAGCGCCTCCACCACATCTGTTGTTGTTGTTTTTGTGTAGCACATGGCATCAAAGGCGAGCATAGACGGCAAGTAGAGACATAAAGAAGCTAAGGAGCTTGCGGTTCGGTACCCGAGCCAGCATGGACGAAGTCGAGGTGGAGCTGCCTGACGACCTGAGGGTGCTCGAGAACGCAGAGGGGCACGAAGGGCCCTGCCTGGAGGTAGCCGCGGCGCTCGAGCTCAAACACGTAGCCTTCGGCGCACACGATGGACTCGCCCCTCTGTAGCCTCTCCAAAAACCTGTTTCTGGGCTGAGCGCATTCCATCTTCTTCTTCTCTGCACAGGTCTAGCGGGTGCCGCGTTGTTGTTCTGTTGTTGGTGTTGTTGATGTTGTTGTGGAGAGGTGGAAGATATGAGCGGTTTGCAGGGGGTGATGCGGGTGTGGTTGGGCTAGTGCCGCTGTTTGGGAAGCGAGATGATGTGGGATACCCTGTCAACGAAAGGCATCTCGTTGACTTCTCTCAATCATGCCACATGTGGCGTGTGGTGATTTGGGTCGTAGTGTGTTGACATTGTCGTGACATGTTTGCACGTTCTTGTTTTCTTTTTCTTGTTTTTCTTTTCTTTTTTTCTCGAGCAGAAATGAAGTATCACAAAATCTTCTTAGCAATAAGGCCAAAATGGTGTACACCAGGTCTCGTTTTTACAGTTCAGGATCAGCTCCGGAGGCTGAGTTGGAGACGATGCCGGTTCCGGACTTGAAGTTGTCGAAGGGGAGGAGCGTCGAGGTGGTGAACGTGCAGGAATTGCCGTTGATGGGGGTGGTCATCACAAGGGAGAGGGACCCCTTGTTGACATTCATGTTACACGTGCTGTTGTAGATCGCTGCAGAGTAGAAGTTGAGCAGGTCGTCGGAAGTCGCGAAGGTCCACAAGAGCTGCGTGGAAGAGTAGTAGATGGAAAGCCCCTGGGCGACGTAGTTGGTGTTGTACTGATAGTCGAGGTAGTAGGTGGCGTTGAAGCCGAGGAGCTCGTAGTTTGTGGTCGAGCACGAAGTCAGGTAGATGGTCCGGTCCGAGGAGCAAGAGACTTGCGGGTTGCAGTCAGTGTTCTTCACGATGGCGATGGCTGCCTGCATGCAGGTGTTGACGTCGCGGAAGGCGACATAGGCCGGGCGGGTGATGTTGACAGAAGTTGTCGACGCGTAAGGGACGAAGGCGCAGATGAGGAAAGCGGAAAGGAGGACGAACGAAAGGGTATCGGAGGCAGCCATGTTCGTGAGCTCTGCGGAGAAGACACTGCCACTGTGTCAGTCCATTGTACAGCGGCCTCTGCGAAGTCGTAATTTACGATCGGGTCCAATGACGCTCTTCGGGCTCAACTCCGCTGTCGGGAAGAAAACACATGAAATATATTTTCCTTTTGCTTGGGCTCCGAGTAAAATAAAGAGAAAAGCAGCGCTTACCTACTGATTTCCTAGTGTTCTGGTTTTTCTTGGACAACGCTCCACGCAACAATGGCTGGCGATGCAGTTGAAACCCTGGCCATCATGGTAGTCTCAGTCTTGGTCAGCAACCATGAACAACCTCTGAGAGCAGTGGGCAATGACAAAGACAGCAATGTTGCCAGGTGGTTGTGATAGCTGTAGCTGTGGGTGTGGTTGAATTGGAGACCCCTGATGTGTTATGTAGCTTGCCTGGTGTGTATGCTGACATGAAGATCATGGAGGACACCTTTGATGACTTCGGTTTCCTCCTACTGACCATCCTCATTGATGGTACCCCCCCAAATCCCCAGTCAAGCTCAGGGTCTCTCTTGTATCCTTCACTAATGGATTAACATGTTTTTTGTTGTATGTTGGGTCAGTTGGCCCCCATAGAGATGTGGAGACTGGGGCAATGTTGTCCTCTACTCAATTAACATCTGCTCTTGACCCAAGTGAGACCACACACCAAGTGGCTCCTCATCCTCATTGACACCTGTCATGCAGGCCACTACTATACATTGCCTCAAGAGGCATGACTACTGGCCCAGTGGGTGTGCCCATCTACTTGGGATTTAACTGGACAAAAAGTCAAGTGTTTTTTCTTTTCACAAGCAATCCAGAGGGGCCATTTGTTACATCTCAGTGTGGAGAGTGCCTTTCCTCTCTTACTTCTTGGCCTCCTGAGGAGGTGGCTGCTCACTGTGAGGGTGGCCTGGAGCTGCTCTTTGTCATTCAGTTGATATTAAATTGTTGCAGCATTCATCTTCACATGATCTGTGGGGCAAGGAGGAGATAAATTAGCAAACATTCTATTGCATACATGTATCCAGTTCATGTTCAACCTCACACCATATTCAGTCAGTTGCACACATGCACTGAACTTCATTCTTCACATTTGTGCTGAATTGGAGCACTATTCCTGAAGTTAATCTGGTGGGGCTAGGAGGAGATAAATTTAGCATAATGGGCCGGGAAATGAGCATGTATGCAAGGGGGCAGTTACTTCCTTCAGGAGCTGCAACAGTTCCTGAGGCTGAGCAACTGGGTGATGAGTGCCTTTGTTGGGGGCATTGGGGTCATAAAAGCTGCCCTGGCTGGACTGGAAGCACTGTGTGAGCCCCATCAGGGTGTTGGACCACAGCCTGCCAATGGGTGTGGCCAGGATGCTCTTGGAGTAGGTGCAGCCATAGTCACTGGTTGCAAGCTTGCATCAAAGAAAGAAGGCCAAAGCTGGAACAGAAAAGAAACTTATCTTTGTCCTCATTTAATTCAGTCATTTTCCTTTTTCCTTTAGGCGAGGTGGCGAGCTTCGAGGTAGCGCACGACGTTGGCGAAGGAGGGCCGGCTGTCGGGGTCGTGCGCCCAGCACTGCTCCATGAGCTTGCGCCACACCTTGGGCACATCGCGCTCGATCTTGGGCCGATCGCCCTGCATCACCTTCCTCTTCACGTCGGCGTCCAGCTCGCCCTCCCACGGCACCTGCCCCAGGTGAAACAACTCCTGCGCACACACCACACGTGCATCAGCAGACCGCACACACACGGCACACAGCACGCGCCACACCGCACACACCACCGCACACGCAGTTACGTACCCACACGATGACTCCAAAACTGTACACGTCACTGCTGTTGGTGTAGAAGCCCTTGAACTTGTCCTGGCAGTTCTTCGGTTTGTTCTTGAACACCTCGGGCGCTCGCCAACGGCCCGTTCCCACGCCCATCCCCTTCATCTCGTTTACATCCACCGTGCTGAGGCCGAAGTCGGCGATCTTAGGCACCCAATTCGAATCGACCAGCACACTAGCGAAGGCACACAACACACACACACACAACACAACACAACACACAAGAGAGAGATTTGTCTTAGGGCGGTGTTGTGTGGGCGGACCCCAAGAAAAGGAGAAGCGTACTTCATACTCGACAAGTCGCGGTGGCACACATTGTTTTTGTGCAGGTGCTGCATCCTGCACGACATACGACACACGAAAAAGCAAGCATCAAGGCTTGATTAGAGCCAAAGAGCGATACACATGCACAGAGAGAAAAGAGAGAGAAAGGGGGTCTACTCACCCTCGCGCGATGCCGGCTATGATGGCCCCTCTTCGCTGCTTGATCGCCTCGTAGGGGTCGGGTGGCGATGTTGGCGCCTCCACCTCGTCGCGCTTTCGCTTCGACAACGGCGTCGCCGGGGCACCTACCAACCGGAACGAGAGAAGCTAATGTGAGCGAGTAACTCAGAGAAGAAGAAGAAGAAGAAGCGCGCTCGGTGTACCACGGCTGCGACGGGTGGAGCGCATGGCGGCCTCCAGCTCCCGTCCCTTCTCGGTCTTTCGTCGAGCGGCCCGGCCCAGGCCGCGCCCGCCCGCGTTTCGCTTGAGGTTCTGTATATACTCGTGGAGGTTGCCGTAGGCGCAGTACTCCATCGCGATCTGCTTTTGGTCGCCGACGACGCAGTAGCCCACCACCCGGACGACGTTCTCGTGACCCCGCAGCTTCCTGTGTGTGTGTGTGTGTGTGTGTCGTGTGTGTCGTATGTGTTTCGGTGGGCACCACACGTCACAGCTCCTGTGTCTCCGCGTGGAGTGGCGCATCGTACCCCAATATCCGGACCTCGTTGTCGATGCGCGTGGGGAGTTCGCTGGGCTTGAAGACCTTGACGGCGACGTCGAGGCCCTTGTAGTTGGCTCTGTACACGCGCGCAAACGAACCGCTCCCGATGACG